GAGACTATAGAGACCATAGAGACCTGAGAGAGAGCAGAGACCAGCGAGGAACCCAAGAGAGAGACCAGAGATACCACAGTAGAAAGTTGGATTGAAACGTCTCTGAAGTTTTATGGAGGCTCTTCTGTGTGTGCCTGATGATAATATGTGACCCCACTCCTCCCCAAGTTGTGACTTATGTTCAGCCCATAGACTGTATATCAGGAGTGGACTGACCGAGTGTGACATCACCATCGTGTTAGGTTACGATTTCAACATGAGCATAATTTCCTTAGTTCAGATGTGTTGCTAAGACAAGGCAAGCTGGAGTTTACCCCAAAAATGGAGGCATCTGATTGGTCAGTCTTTATAGAGCTCACACCTGGATTTCCAAACACTATATCCCAATAAAAGACACCAGGATCACAGAGAGAGCTAAACCACAGATTTAAGACCAAAATGGTGAGTGTGACACGAACAGTTACAGAGCTAGAGGAGTTTAGTTTTACATGTAAGTTAATAGGGGCCAGAAAGTGTTGGAGCCAAACTTCACCATGAGCGCTTCCTTATTGGTCTTCATTGTCCATCTTTATACAGTCTATGGTTATACCCACCAGATCTCGCCCGTCTCTGCTCTGATCTGCCTCTTCAAAAATAAGCACCAGTCAAAAGTTGTCTGGACATTGAAAATGAAACACAGACGTTTTACTGAGAGACAAACATGAACGTGACAGACACACAGAAGTCATGTGACCAGGGCCAGGACACTCCATGCTGGGTCATGCTGCTCCGCGACATTTATTAAGTGATTTTTGCATTTTTTTTTTTCTTTTGTTCTTGTACAGCATTATTTTTTGTCTCCACTTGCGCTCCCCTGTCAAAAAAGGTTTTCAAGGGACAGTCAAGAAGCAAGAGTTCGTCGGCTTCATCAATGTCCAACCAGTCCATAGATTCCTCATATTCATAATAATAATATAATTTAACTTGTTCCAGGCTAAAAAATAATTTACATCACACGTTATTTTGACTTCTTGGGAGATCACAAACATTCCAGCAACACACTCTAGGGTGACAATCGGAAAAAAGCATGACGTTTTTGCATAGTATTAAATGAACAAAGACATTGACTTCTTTATTATTTACAATTATTGTTATAGATAAAAAAATATCATAAAAACAAGATGGACACTTAAGGACTTACCCATGAATGGCTAAGTTCATACTAATAACACGCCAACGTTGGTCATCGTTTGGCATTTATTATTATTGTCTTTTTCTTGATTTTTCCACAAACTGCATGCGTCTAAATACAGTACATTGAGGCAGGTGACAGTTATATTGCGAGTTCAATATTGATTTTTGTTGGTGCTAAATTAAAATGTGCTTCTTTTGAACAGTGATTGTTGTCCGATGTTTTCAGTACGTTGGAAAGACGGGCAGTGATCGGTCGAGGAAAGTACACAAGCTGGTCTTTTCATTAGAGCCTTCTTCACAATGACGTAAATCTCCTTATATTAATGAAAGTTAATTTATGTATTTAGTTTAGTTTAGTTTATTTATTTATTTCTAGGTTGAAATACCCTTTACCGGTTTACATGTGATGAGAGATGTATCTGACCAAATTCCACCGGCCCTGCTTTGCCCTACTCTACTCGGCTCTACTCTATCCGGTTGTGTTTCCATAACGCTTTGGTATCTGGTACCGTATCCTAGTAACCTCACAACAAACCCGTATCTGTGAAATCACCGTTTACTTCAGTACCAGCTCGGTCCGGATAAAACCACAAAGGGACTGAGAAAGAACCTGGCACTGGTCAAACAGGGGCAGGGCATGGCTGAACAGTTCTTAACATTAACTTAGCGCAGTAGATGTTGGCGTTAGCTTAGCATAGTATATTCGCTCGACTGTTTTAAGAGCTGTTTATGTTAGCATAACGTTAACCTGCCACATCCATTCAAGCCACTTCACATCCTTTTATTCTCACCTTGGGCCTGTAATGTGAGAATGTTGAGTTTGTGGAAACAACCGAGATAATTAAATCTGAGGCTTTGTGTGGACAAGTGGGGGAGGGTACAGAAACCCCAAATGGGGAAATAATAGGTGCATAGTTCAAATGGGTTGTTGATGTTAGCTTAGCATAGTAAACTCACTGTTGTCTATGGTTTTAATAGGAGTTGAGGTTAGCTTAGCAAGTAGTCTCTTTACTGTTTCAAGAGTTGACGTTAGCTTAGCGTTGTTACCTCCCTCCACTGTTACAAAAGTTGACGTTAGCTTAGCGTTGTTACCTCCATCCACTGTTACAAGAGTTGACGTTAGCTTAGCATAGTAAACTCACTGTTGTCTATGGTTTTTTTAGGAGTTGAGGTTAGCTTAGCAAGTAAAGTATGTTCCCTGTTTCAAGAGTTGACGTTAGCTTAGCGTCGTTACCTCCCTCCACTGTTACAAGAGTTGACGTTAGCCTAGCATTCTAAACTCACTGTCCATGTACCATTATTGCAAGGTACCAAATCCCACAGCCAGCATGAATACTTCCCCATTTCCATCACTGACTGCTTGTATTCACAAAAACCGCATCTCTAAAAAGCTGAAAGTGATGTAATTTTGCCATTTTATTATCGCTAATAATTGAAAACACTGTCTTCTGCTGTGATGTCGTGGTTTCAACTGACAACAAAGAAGCGAAGTAAGCGCACACTACCGCTCGATCTGGAACTCAAAATAAATCATAATTTGCCGACATTTGCCTGAGCTAACTGTGTAAAGCTTGCACCCACTCCAACAAAAAATGTACTGAAAAAACACTGTATTTACTGTAGCAGTGCTTGGATACAAGATTGTATATATTTTTAAGTGGAAAAAATTGTCAATTTGTTGGCCGATCTCATGCTCGCCACTGGAGTTAGTAGTAGTAATAAATATAAACGTTGTAGTAATAGGCAAGTTTTAGTGTTTAGAGTTATTGTTGTAGCTAACATCTCATGGCGAATACATTGTTGGATTTTTGAAAGCACAATGATAAGTAGATTTTTTTTGTTTTTTTTACGTGATTCGGATGCTAGGAGGAGTACTGTCATTTGGGGTGGAGCGGCAGGAAGACAGGCTCGGTCTAAAACACGCAAAGCACATCGAGATCGGTACACCACAGAAGTTGTCATTCATATCCAGATAGTGCAGAAAATCTTTTTTGTATATTAGAAAAAGAGTCAAAGTAACATTCCATTTTTCGTTGTTTTGTTCGGCGTGTCAAAGATGGTAAAAACGCAGAGTTCGGTCTCCTTTGCGTTTGTCAATGAGAGCGTTTTTTTAAGACGAAAGGACGAAACTCTTTCCCCAAAATGTTTGCAGATTGTTCGGTTGTTGCAGCCTTGCAGTGGCGACGATGGAGTTGAGTTTAAGTCTTTTTGAACAAGCGGTTTGTCATCAAGGTCCGGATGTGAGCCTCCACATCGAGCCCAGGCCGTAGCCAACGGAAACCAATCAATATTAATACAAAACAAAAATGACCCGAAAAAATGAAATATACCCATTTCTGAGAAGTTGAGAAAACCAAGGCAAGCCACTCTCCTGATCCCAACAATCGGTTTCCACATGTACGACTGTTCCCATTGTGTTTTGGTTGCTTTTGTTAATTCCTCTAGATATCTACAATATTTGACAAGATAGCAGGCAAGTTCCAGCAAATATATAATATATATTTCTTTTTCAGTTGTCACACAGCATTCCTTCTCTGCGCTTAAAAACAAAAGAAAACAGAAAGAATAATAAATTAAGACAAAATCTCTACCAGGTTGTAAACAAATTACATTCTCTTTAAGACAAATAATTGAAGCAGGAACAAGGCAACATGCCGACGAAACAATAATAAACTCTCTCTATATATTTGTATTTATATTAATAGAATATAATATCGCATAAATGCTGTTGTGGTCATAAATTAATTTCCTCTATCTGACGTAACTACAGTGCAAGTTGAGCCCTAGCGCGTCACCCGCGCCGCTTTAAAGGATCAATTCATTTGTACATTGGATGGATACAAGTTCATGCCAAACACACAGAAACTCGCAAGGCTCTTTAGAAGAAGCTGCTTTCTATTATAAAAAAATCAGCCAGGCCCAGCTCGTTCCAACCAAAAAATATGAAAATAAATACGCTGGCTACACATACACAGTTCTACAAAAACGTTCCTGCCGCCGACAAGTTATTGAGACACAGATTGAGTGTAAGCGGTGTGTGCAATTGCTTGAATGAAGAAATATGTTTGTGTTGTAAAGTCGTGCTATTATTGCTAAGCTAACGTATACATTAAGTACAATCGCTCCCTGGCTGGATCGGATGGCGCACACGAGGAGTTTAGCGTTTAGCTTGTCTGTCCATATCTTTAAATAAATACAAGTGAACGTGTTGAATGGTCAGCTTCATCTCCAGAGGACAGAGTTTGTTAGGCGCCACCTGCTGGACGCAGGCAGTATGACACCACGTGGAGCTGAGAAAGCCTTGAAAAGAGAAGAGATGAGACTGACCAAAGTTAGTGATTGGTGTATGTGCAGCCAGACGCTAACCCCTCTGTATTAAAGAAACCCTGGGTAATGTACATTCATGCAGGAGCAACAATAATAATAATAATAATAATCAGAATAACATTTTCAATTTAATTTAAACTATTATAAGTATTGACAAATGCGGAGGAGGGTTTTGGAAGTCCGCCCCCTCCTCCTCCTCCACCTCCACCTCCTCCAGGATTGCTCCGATAATGCCACAAACACAGTCTTATTCATGTGCAGAAGTGGCACTCCACCCGGCACTCCGTGGGCAAACCACAAACAAGATGGCCGCCGTTTCTTTGTGATTGTACGCTCTTTTCACCTCGCTGTTGAAACTGGGGTGAAGTAGCTTTTTAAAGGGGAGACGCAGGACCGGCCCCGCGTGCGTGTGTGTGCCGAGCGCAGAGTAAATCGGACGTCATTTCGCTGGAGGATGCGCCGCCGGGCTTGGGTAAAAAATACGGTAATTTTTGTGGAGGTTAGAGACTGGTTTCCAAGCTGTGAAGCGGGGAGGCGGGGGTGGAGGAGGCGGCGGATCTACTGGTGTCGATGGTGAGGTTGATGCCGCTGTCTATGGCGTTGTTGTTTTTGTTGGGAGACGGCGGCTGATTCTGGAACTTCCGCCTCCGCCTCGCCATCTCGTCCTCCGTCTCGTCGATGAGCGGGATGCTGGGGGTGGAGTCGTCGATCCGGAACTCGGGGTGCGTCATGAAGTTGTGGATGGATGAGCGCGAGTCGGGTTTTTCCAGGCCTTCGTACAGAGAGCTACGAAACGCATTCACAACGCGGATCTGGAACGAAAAAAGAGGGAAAGGAAGAAGACACAGCAGAGACAGAGGATGAGTGGAGGAGCTGGAGCTGGTTCCACAGGGCGGCGAGGGACCCTTGGGGAGATCGAGACACGACAACAGAGAGAATCCACATTGTGTTAAGTTGAAAAAGTGACAAAAGAAGTCTGCTGTCAGTGCTTTTCGGCTTTCACAAGATAGCTACAGTTCACATTTCACTCAAGAACTGGGCGTGCACTAAAGGAAAACCGGAAAACACAGAAAAAACAAATAATATACATTTCAAAAACCACGTCTCAAAAAGCAACACAAAACGCTCGTTGTAAGTATACGCTTTGATTTTTAGTCCAATGTGCGGTATACCTAGAAACAAGCCATGTTAATAATAAATGGCAAAGCTCACACACAAAGGAAAATGAGGGTAAAATATCACATGCAGAAGAACTCTGGTGGAGAGTGAGGCTCGGAGAGGAGAAGAGGGTTATCGAGCTCTCAGACCCAACGTCAGTCCAAACGCTGGTTCGCACACACTTCCAATGGCACACTCAAATAAACAGTGGACAGTGGGTGTAGAATGGGGGGGATGAGGTGGTCACACAGGCATCGCAATGGACGAGAAACACGAAATGATAAGAAACTTCACATCGGGTTAAGATGTGGTGGGACACAGATGGACATGCAACAAGACAGACGTGGGATCACACACTGCGACACTAAAACATGTGTGAAAGGAAGAAAACACAGCTCCGTCTGAGCTCAAAGGTCAACTTCATGCACAGCTCGGAGAACGCTCCAGTATAGGCTTCCAACGCCAGAAATAAAGCAGCTCAAAATATATAATTATGAAGTATCTTATAATGTTTATAACCAAAGATTGCTCTGTTTCCCCCATATTGAACTGTGGGGAAACAGAGCAATTCTGGCTCATGTTGGTTTTAAGCCCTGTTTCCACCAGCCCTACTTGGCCTCACTCTACTGTACTCGCCTCTGTTCTTCTCGGCTCTACTCTACATGATTGAGTTTTCCTTTGGCTTCCAGCAGGACTCTTGCCAATCCCTGGTAGCTATAACACTTTAGTACCAGCTCAGCTTGGATAGGAACCAGGGCCAAACTGGTCCTGGACTGATCCTTGACCCGTCCTGGAGTAGCTGGTTCTGGACTGGTCATATACTCGTACTAGTTTACTTGGTTGCTACACGCTGTTTACTTGCATAAGTTAGCATTTGGCCTTTCTGCAAACCATCTTTTAAACTACTAACTTTAAAAAAAACTGAACATGTATTTTGGTGAATTCTATGGGTTTGAATGTGAACAGTCAAAATGACTGCCCTAGGGTTCTTATGTTAATACTGGCTAGAGCTTCATCCAATCCAAGATCAGTAATTTAAGACGTACATGCTTAATTAATACAGCAAATACAGTCACCAAGACTATCAAATGTTAATCGACATGATGTGGCCCAAAGACTCCTTCTGGGACTCTGAGGAGCAGAGGGACTGGCCTCCTGCTGGTTCCAGAGTCAAGACTAAACACGAGGAGGCAGCGTTTCAGATTTAGAACTTTAGAACTAAAATCTGGAACAGTCTTCCTGAAAATGTGGAACAGGCTTCTACTCTGACATTGTTCAAATCCAGGTTAAAACAGCTCTGTTTTACTGCAACAACTGAAGAATTGTACTGGTATCTTCACTCTTTTTAATGCACTGTTTATTATTATGATTTTAAAGTGATTATTTCTCTCCCTGGTTATTCTTGCGTTGGAGCTTATACTTGAGTACTAGTCCGGGCTCTGGGTAAGTTGATCATTAGTCGGCAGCACTGAGGTCCATGGAGACACAACACACGAGGTGATCAGAGGGAGACAAACTCACAACCTGAAATGTCACGCCGTGGGAATCACCCTCCCTGCGCTCCTAGCACTCTGAGGAAACAGAACATCGAGCCATGAGACGACACACACCTAAGAATGAGCCTACGGTGAATCTGAATCAGAGAGGACAGAGGAGAGAAGCACGAACAGCCAGAGACTGTCAGGGACACCAGCCGCGTGTGCGTGTCTCTGCGTGTATGAGTGTGTGTGTGTCTCAGTGTCTCTATGTGTGTGTCTCTGCATGCATGTGTGTGTATGTCTCTCTCTGTATGTGTCGCTGCATGTATGTGTGCGTCTCTGCGTGCTTGAGTGTGTGTCTCTCAGTGTCTCTATGTGTGTGTCTCTGCATGCATGTGTCTGTATGTCTTAGTGCGTGTCTCTCTGTTTGTGTCTTTGCATGTATATGTGTGGATGTCTCTCTATGTGTCTGTGTGTGTTTCTGAATGCATGTGTGTGCGCGTGTATCTCTGTAAGTATTGTTCTGCACGAATTTGTGTATGTGTGTGGGTGTCTCTCTCTGCTTGTAAGTGTGTGCGTGTGTTTCTCTCAACACAAAACTTGGCTCTCTCCATCTGGTCCTTTGTTCACAGGAGACTTCTTTCCTCCAGTAGATTTAGAGCAGAGCGAGATATATTTAACTCTAAAAAATTGTGAACAAACACAAGACTCCAGATATCCAGGGTGTGTAAGAAGACATAGTATATTTGTCACTAAGTGAGGTACCCAAGCTTTAACTGTTGTGTGGCCGAGAGGGTTATCACATGTTTATAAATCTCAGATTCAGATTCAGAATAAGATTCATTTATTTGCCATTTGCAGTAAAACCACACTGGAAAAACTGTGCAAGACTACCCCCAGTGTGCGCCAACGGCACACACCAGAGCTCCTGCCACGGCGCCAACTTTACGGCGCCATGCAAATCTGGGCACAATATTTCATTTACAGTTGTGTTTCCATATTGCAGCCCAAACTCAGTAGTGTTTAGGTAGTATCTGTAGTATTATTGCAGTATTATCAAAGAAGTATAGAGTAATAGTAGTAGTATAAAGATAGTATTATATAGACAGTTTATATAGTATTAAAGGAAGTAGTAGTAGTATTTAGGAAGTATCTGTAACAGTATAACAGCAGTATCTGTAAAGTATTTGTAATAGTATTAGAGTACTTTGAGTAGTTTTAAAGTAGTATTTGTAATTGTATTAAAGCAGTATCTATAGTAGTAAAAGGTATTATTAAAGAAGCATCTGTAGTATTATAATTAGTATCTGTAGTAGTATTAAAGAAGCTTCTGTAGTATTACAGTAGTATCTATCTGTAGTAGTATTAAAGTAGCATGTGTAGTATCATTGGAAGCACCCCTGTGGAGATAGGAACAGTGGACGTGGAGCCGTTGGCGTGTGGCTGGCGTCCCTGAAGAGGCAGAGCAGAGAGCAGGAGTGACAGAGGCTGACTCACGGCCAGTAGGGGGAGCAGTAGCAGCAGTAGTGCTTGTAGGAGAGGAAAGGGCATTGGACAAGGACACGTGACTAGGACTAGAAACATTGGTTACATCCTGCGTCTGGCTGGTGGTGGACGACTGGCGCCTCAGAGCTCCCGCGCCCTGAAAGGAGGTGCCGCTCTTGAAGGTGTTGACTACTTCGATCTGTGGAGACGGACAGAGACAAACGCCGCTGAGACAGATGCAGACACAGCCACAGAGCGGGGGAAGGGTCAGTACAGGGGTCTGCACAGGCTGAGGCGATATGGGGACCGTACCACCAAATCTGTGTGTGTGTGTCAAATATATGGGATTGCATGAAGCCTGTATGACAGGACTGGACTGGGGTTTGGAGTTGGTCCTTCCGTTGGTCTCTCTCTGGTCTGTCTCTCAGGTTTCTCTCTAGTCTCTCTCTTTGGGCTCTCACCGGTCTCTCTCTTGTCTCTCTCTCCCCCTCTCTCGCTGGTTTTTTGTTTGTCTCTCTCTCTTTCACTCCCTCTGGTTTCTCGGTCTCTCTCTGGTCTCTCTCTGGTCTCTTTCTGGTCTCTTTTTGTTCTCTCTGGTATTTTTGTTCTCTCTGATCCGTCTCTCAGGTGTCTCTCTTTCTGTTTTTTTGTTGGCCTCTCTCTGGTCCCTCTCTAGTCTCTCTCCAATCTCTCTGGTCTCTTTCTGTTATCTTTTTGTTACCCTCTCCAGTCTCTCTTTGGTCTCACTCTGGTCTCACTCTGGTCTAACTCTGGTCTCACTCTGGTCTCACTCTGGTCTCACTCTGGTCTCTGAGAAAGACCAAGGAGAGAGACCAGAGTTTACTTCTACATGTAAGTCAATAGAGTCAGAGTGAGTTCATTGAGCTAGTATGTTAGCATTGTCCATCTGTATAGAGTTCATTTTGACCATATCGCCTGCCCCTCAGTCTGCACTTACCTCATCGTCAGCGTGACAACATTACAGCTGTAGTAAACGATCTTTCAGAAAAATGTATGAGATACACAGCAAGGGTACAAAAACATGCACAGGTACAAGTACAAGTGCTTTAAAAAAGACAGTTAAACAAACATGCACATCTTATACACATACTAGTACATTCAAGAGGGTAAAAAAAAGTATTGAGTCAGTAGCAGAGATGAAAACTAGAGTAATAAGTGCGTGGTAGCTAGCATTACTGAACGTTTTGAAATCTAAAGCAAGGTGGACAACAATATGGCCGTATTGTTGTTGTCTGTTGCCATGGGAACGGAGGAGAGGGGAGTCCTGGATTTAGCAGACCGCCTGTTGTAAAAGGCGGCTGTAGTACTGTTGTTTGGTGATCCTGAACTCACCCTGACTGAAGTCCCTCTCTGCTCTCTCTCTGGTCTCTCTTCTCGTTCCCTCTCTCTGGTCTGTCTCTCATGACTCTCTCTGTTCTTTCTCTGGTCTCTCCTTCTGTTCTCTCTCATTGATCTCTCTCTGGTCTCTCTCTGGTCTCTCTCCAGGCTCTCTCTTGTCTCTCTCTGGTCTCTCTCTGGTCTCTCTCTGGTCTCTCTCTGGTCTATCTCTGGTCTATCTCTGGTCTATCTCTGGTCTATCTCTGGTCTATCTCTGGTCTCTCTCTGGTCTCTCTCTGGTCTCTCTCTGGTGTCTCTCTGGTCTATCTCTGGTCTCTCTCTGGTCTCTCTCTGGTCTCTCTCTGGTCTCTCTCTGGTCTCTCTCTGGTCTCTCTCTGGTCTCTCTCTGGTCTCTCTTGTCTCTCTCTCTGTCCTCTTGCTCTCTCTTGTCTCTAGTATTCAGCCTGGAGCAAAGTTGTAACTACAATAATATGTGAATATAAACAAACAAATTAAAACTTGATCTAAATCTAGGGACAGTTTCCAACACAAGCTGTGTTTTCCATAAATATATTCTGCATAATCCTGGCGGTTTCATAATCATTGAGTTGTCATCTGTGTCTCCAAACTGCACCAAACAGTGTCATCTTAAAATACATGTGTGTTTCCCCAGTTCCTCTGCTTCGAACTGGAGCCTGAGCATCACATTCAGGTCGGTTAGGGCACAGTGGTGTTGGTCACATCTACAGAACACCTTCAAAACCAACGTTACACAAAAGCACAGACATTATACACTACATCAGACACGAGCACAGCAAGGGACTAAACTCAGCACCAAGAATGAATGAGAACAAACAGGATCAGAAAACTTGCAGTACTTTTTCTCATTTTCCTTCTTTTATGCAGATATTTATATTTTGAGATTTGGACACAGCTCCATCAGCTTTCAGTCGCTCTTTGGTATCTCTGGTCTCTCTCTCTCTGGTCTCTTCTGTCTTTCTTTGGTGTCTCTGGTATCTCTGGTCTCTTCTGTCTCTCTTTTGAATCTCTGGTATCTCTCTCTCTGGTCTCTTCTGTCTCTCTTTGGCATCTCTGGTCTCTCTCTGGTCTCTTCTGTCTCTCTTTGGTGTCTTTGGTATCTCTGGTCTCTCTCTCTGATCTCTTCTGTCTCTCTCTGGTATCTCTGGTCTCTCTCTCTGATCTCTTCTGTCTCTCTTTGGTATCTCTGGTCTCTCTCTCTGATCTCTTCTGTCTCTCTTTGGTATCTCTGGTCTCTCTCTCTGATCTCTTCTGTCTCTCTCTGGTATCTCTGGTCTCTCTCTCTGGTATCTCTGGTCTCTCTCTCTGATCTCTTCTGTCTCTCTTTGGTGTTTTTGGTCTCTTTTGTTTCTTTGGTTTCTCTGGTCTCATCTGTCTCTCTTTGATCTCTCTCGTCTCTTTGGTCTCTTTCTGGTCTCTCTGTTCACTCTCTCTCTCTGGACTCTGTTCTCATTTTTGGTCTCTCTCTCTCTGCTCTCTGTGTCTGGACCAAATACTATGATTTTAGTCCTGCAGACATGAAATATTACTTTTTAAACATTTGCATCTTCAGAGCTTCTTGTGCCGTTTTGGCCATGGTTTGAATTAAACTGTGTTCGACTTATGTGCTCGACTAGTTTAATTCCTTTTTCAAATGGAGCTCAGGAGCGCTCAAACACCCAGAAGTCCAGTAGTCTCGCCCTCAGACCCTCAGTCCCTCGTCAGTGAGTGATGTTTCACCTGAGTCTGGATGCGGTTGAGACCTCTGAACCACAGGATCTGGCCCCTCCTCAGCTCTCGCTCCGCATGGTCGATCTCCTCGTTGTCCTCGTTGGCGTCCTCCTCCGGCATCTCGTCCTTCCGTGTCAGAGCGCCCGCCCGCCGCAGGAACCGCAGCTTACTGTTGGGGATGGAGGCGATGACCTGAGCGGGTCACACAAAACCGGGTCAAATGCACATCGCAGACTGTGGAGGAGGGGAGCTGAGAGCTGACGGTGCCCATGGTGTCAGCTGTACCGGTCTCTCCTAGTGTTAGGCAAACAGCAGGGATCGAACTCATGTAGGGTTTTTTATTATTATTTATTTATCCGTATCAGAAACAGTTTGAGGGCTGTTTGGATTGAACGCATTCTAGACTGAAATGCAGATTATTTACTTTTTCATATAAACTGTAAAGTGGTCCCTCTCTGAAACATGTTTTACCTTTTGTGGCTTTGTAGTTTTGCAGATTTTTTCTGTTCCCTCTGGTTTCTTTTTCTTTGGTTTCTCTCTTTTCTCTCTGGGCTCGCTCTGATCTATTTTTCTCTGGTCTCTCTCTCTGGTTTCTTTGCTCTCTGTCTCTCCCTGTGGTCTCTCTCTGGTCTGTCTCTCTCTGTTCTCTATGGTCTCTATGGTCTCTTTCTCTGGCTTCTTTGGTCTCTCTCCCTCTGCTCTCCCTCTGCTCTCCCTCTGCTCTCCCTCTGCTCTCTATGGTCTCTTTCTCTGGCTTCTTTGGTCTCTCTCCCTCTGGTCTCTCTATGGTCTCTCTTGTTTATTTGGTCTGTCTCTGGTCTCCATTTGGTCTCTCCCTCTGCTCTCTCTCATCACTATCATTGTCTTGTGTGTATTATGGGTGTTAAACTACTTAAAAAACAATTGTTGTCCTGGGTGATACCTGTCCCCAGACGAGCTCGCCGAGGCCCAGGAACACACACCACATCCACTTCTCCAGGTCCAGAGGCTGACAGCTGAACGGCTTCCCCCCGAACTGGACGATCACGATCTGAGAGAGAAACAAACAAGACCAACAAGAAAACGTATCAAAAACTGCAATACATCCACCCTCAATCCCCATCACTGCATTCTGGTCTCGCTCTGGTCTTGCTCTGGTCTTGCTCTGGTCTTGCTCTGGTCTTGCTCTGGTCTTGCTCTGGTCTTGCTCTCTCTCTCTCTCTCTCTCTCTCTGACCTCTCTCTCTCTCTGGCCTCTCTCTGGTTTCTCTCTCTGGTCTCTATCTCTCTCTCTCTCTCTCTGGCCTCTCTCTGGTCTCTCCCTCTGATCTCTGTCTGGTCTCTCTCGAGTCTCTTTCTGGCCTCTCTCTGCTCTCTTTCTCTGCTCACTCTCTCTCTGTGGTCTCTCTCTGCTTTCTCTGTGGTCTCTCTCTAGTCTCTCTGATCTCGGCCTTTTACCTGAACAGCGAATGTCCCGAAGACGATGGAGCAGAAGATGGGGTTCCTGAAGATGCCGTCGAACACGTTCCTCTCCCCGTGGATCTTTCTGGCGTTGATCTCGTTGAACAGCTGCATCATGACGAAGGTGTTGAAGATGATGGTGTAGTGTTCTGACGGCGGCGAGTGCAGGGGAGCGTTACGGCCGCTGTCAATGTCAAAGATCTGCTCCCCTGAACAAACATCCAACGCACACAGTTATTAACCCTGAACAGACATCCAACACACTATTCCCAAGTACATACACAATGCTATATGTTACATCAAACACACAGTCGTAAACACAGGTCTAGAGCCCTGTTCCCACCAGCTCTACTCTATACTACTCTTGTCTGGTCTACTTTACTCTATACTTCTCTGCTCTACTCTGCTCTGCTCTATGCTACTCTATTCTACTTTATACTACCCTACTCTGCACTACTCTTCTCTATTCTACTCTACTCGAGTCTGCTCTGCTCTGCCCTAATCTTTTCTGTGCTACTCTACACTACTCTATACTACTCTACTCTACTCACCTCTGCTCTGCATTACTCGTCTCAATTCTTGGGTTTCATTAATCTGGCCAGTAGGGGGCGAATGAGCGGCGGTGGGACAACTCAATTTTGCTCCCATTGAAAACCATGTAAATCGTGTCTGTTTTGGAGTCAAAACAACGGTTATTGTAACAGTCTTAATCGGGAGGGGGACACTCAATTCTAAGGGAGTACTAAAAAATATTTCTCAAAAGAGTCTTGATTTTGGGCAAAAATAGAAGAAATTGCTGCGTTTCATTCAGGTGGCCTGCAGGCGGCGCTTTTCTGGGAAAGCCTTGACCCACCTCCCGCTTCATTCGAGCGATTTTTTCAAAGTGTACTCCTTTATATGAGACCACAGTTGGAACACGGAAGAAACTCTTGTCTTTTTCTCTATTTGTGCGGTTTCTACAAGCGTACACCGCACAAAAAGATGGCATTTTGACAGCGCTTCTTCTTCTACTATATCTCCGTGTATAAACCCGGCAGACTGCACCGCCAGGGTACGTCACGTCCTGTCCTACGTTTGTTATTTGCGCCACTGCCCTGACGTCATATGAAACCCAAGAATACTACTCTTTTCTACTCTACTCTACTCTACACCACCCTGTACTACTCTAGTCTACACAGCGACAGTTTGGCACTTTACAGACATAGCCGCCCCACTGTGTCACCTGGTGTTCCCGGAGGTCTCCCATCGCAGTACTAACCAGGCCGTGCCCTGCTTTGCATCAGTGGTCCGATAGGATTCAGCTTTCACAACTCACTAGCTAAAGGGAAATTGAGGGATAGAAGCCTCCTGGTTGGTCAGTTAGGGGCCATATCTGAGTTTACTGATTAAACTGACTTTTGTAAGTAAGTAAGTAAGTGGGCGGCACGGTGGCTGAGTGGATAGCACTCTCGCTTCTCAGCAAGAAGGTCCTGGGTTCGAATTCCGGTCGGAACAGGGCCTTTCTGAGTGGAGTTTGCATGTTCTCCCCGTGTCTGCGTAGGTTACCTCCGCGTGCTCCGGTTTCCCCTACCACTAAAAACATGCACAATAGGTATGAATGTAAATGAGAGAGTGACTGGATGGTGTTGGTTGGGGGCTGATGTGCCAGTGTGTTCGGCGACTCGCTTCCGTCATCACAGTGTGTGGAAGGATTGGAACAATATCTGAACTCTGAACATTGTAAAGTGCTTTGGATGACCTTGGTCTGTAAAATGCGCTATATAAATAAACCTTACTTACTTACTTACTTACATTATTATATTATCCATCTGTTTCATGTGTGCATCTTAGTTATTCTTGGTATGAGTCGGTTCTTATTTCTCTTTCTACTCCGCTCTAATTCAACTGTGGGTTAGAATAAAGGTCCCGAATAAAGGTTTATCTTATCTTATATTATAAACAATGGACTTAGATGATTTAACTTTTCAATAAAAGTGAATGGAGGGAGTTGGAGCACCACAGAAGGCAGTCGCTAAAGTCCGTACCCACAAACAGCAGAGAGAAGATGATGATGAGCTGGTAGACGCCGTGCCCCAGGATGTTCTTGGTCATGGTGGAGGAGATGAGCGGCTTGTTGCGTCCGTACGGTTTCCTCTTGAGCAGAGACTCGGTGGGAGGTTCAGTGGCCAGAGCCAGAGACGCAAAGGTGTCCATGATGAGGTTCACCCACAGCATCTGCACGGCCTTCAGCGGCGAGTCCTGCCACAAAAATGAAAAATTAAACCTTCATTCAATTTAGGCTCCTCTGTATGTTCTTCAGATGTCTCTGTAGGTTTCCTCCAGGTGCTCCGGTTTACCAAGCCATTAAAAAAGTCCCTCATGACAGTTGGTTTTTAAACAGTCAATAAGTGCTGCCCCCAGACAACTGCTATACCCTCAATCCTCTTTTAGAGCAGGGGTGGGTTCTTCTGGGCCACATTGGGCTATTGGTAAATGTCTTGTAGTTATCATTTAATCTAAATAAAACATGTTTGAGTGTAAAATTCTGCAAATAGTTTGGCCTCCACCCTCTCTCAACAAATTGTACGTTTCTTTGAGTCATTGATTGTATATTTTATATGTATTTAGCATGACATACTCAATTAGATCAATTGACAAGAAAACGTAATAAGGCCTCTGAGCTCAGCCGGTTCCCCCACACTCATGCAGGTTCTGCACAGACCTGGTCCTCCCTCCCCACATTGAGAACCCTCACACAGACCTGAGTGATGCAAGCTCCAGTGAAGGCCACAATCACCGCCACTACGTTGACCGTGAGCTGGAACTGGAGGAACTTGGAGATGGAGTCGTACACGTTCCTCCCCCACATCACGGCCTTCACGATGCTGCTGAAGTTATCGTCTGTCAGGATGATGTCCGACGCCTCTTTGGCCACGTCTGTCCCAGCAATGCCCTGGAAGGAGGTTAGAGAGGAAGTCAGAGAGGAAGACAGACAGTCTGCATGAAGGTCTAAGGACAGTGGTGATGATCCAAGACACTTACTCACAGCAACAGTTGTCTCGGAGAACTTTGTAAATCATCTGAGATGACTGCTGTTTTGAGTTAGGGCTATACAAAATTAAATTGAGTTTAATTTAATTTAATTAAATCTCACTATCAGGGCTTAACTAGCAAATCACAACACACTGACTTACGGATATGATGTGGCTGTGAGATTGTAACATCAGCCGCTTTTCACCATCTGAAAACTATTCCCAGAATGGAAAATATAATGGAAGCTTCCAGGACTGAGGCTGTAGATCCAGGACTCAGGCTTTTTAAATAGATAAACAATTTGAATCCATAATACCTTTCCAAATCCTACACACACTGCCAACACTTTTGAGAAATAGATGTTAATTTTTGTCTGAACCATTAAAGCAGGTGTCTGATGGCTCTGAATCTGAAGCCAAAACCAGGAGCCAAAAAAGTTATCTGGTTGTCGCTGCCAAAATATGCCATGTTCATAATGAAGTCTTCAGGGGTTTTTAAAAGGCCTTTTTTATATTACATCTATTAAATGTTATTGGATGTAGACCACTGGGCTGTCGGTGGGACATCCATCTCAGTCTTGGGTCGACAGCCTCAGTGCTGGATCTACAGCCTCAGTCCTGGATCTACAGCCTCAGTCCTGGATCTACAGCCTCAGTCCTGGATCTACAGCCTCAGTCCTGGATCTACAGCCTCATTCCGGGATCTACAGCCTCAGTCCTGGATCTACAGCCTCAGTCCTGGATCTACAGCCTCAGTCCGGGATCTACAGCCTCAGTGCTGGATCCACAGCCTCAGTCCTGGATCTACAGCCTCACATATAGTGTCTTTGTAATTCCAGATATGAGCATATAAGGATGGACCAATCTTCATTACATTCATGCTCATTTGTTAACATGTATGTTATGTTACATAGAATAGAATAGTTTTAGTTTTTCACTGCTTTTATTTAAACGAAGTAATTTTTACAGCTTTAATTTTCATTACATGCTAAAATGGGTTAGTATAACTCATATACATCCATCTTCTTCTACAGTGTCACAATGGTAACTTGCACAAGAAACTTGAGTTTGCTCTGAACCAGTCCAGGATTGAGATCATTTCAAACACCCATCCATCCATCCGATTTCTTCCTCGTTATCCATTTCTGGGTCAGGGGGTGGCAGTCAGAGCTGCACCCAGTATACAGAGCACCAGCCCTTTCAAACACTTTATGACATAAATACAAAATATAGAAGTTAAAACGTTTTGAAGACCAAAACCATACATAAGAGGAGTAATTACACTTCCAAAACTGAAATCTGTGAAATTGTTTTTAGCTTACATGAATTCACATTTCAGGCTACAGTCACGTAAACTATATCGTGAGAATGTCCTTATTCTGAAAGTATTTGAACTTCCATAGCAGTTTTTTTTAAGGTTCCCATTGAAATTAGAGGAATTCTGAACAAATGACTTGAGAATGCTCTCATCTATCTGTACTTCCACGCTCGTCCACTTGGGGGAGCTCTCTCTCCACAGACTAAGGTGATACTGGCGGATGGATCAGTCTGTAAATACCGCAGAAGTGACGGTTCTCTCTCTGCGTTACTCACCATCGCGAACCCCACGTCCGCCTTCTTCAGCGCCGGCCCGTCGTTGGTGCCGTCCCCGGTGACCGCAACCACCTGCCGCTGTGCTACCATGGTGCTGTCAATGATACCTGCAGCCAAAACAGTTCAACAGGGGAAGTGTGAGAGGAGAAGAGCGTGGGAACAGATTTATTTATTTGGAACATGCACAACACATATTGTCACATATGTCTAATAAAATAAAACAGATAGATAATAAGTACATGGTTTGAAAAGGGGTCGGAAAAAAGGCTTTTTTGATTCACACCTCTGGAACTGTGTGTGTGTGTTACTGCAATAATACACGCACACACACACGCACACATGCCACACAATACACTACATTAACAACACACACATACAATACAATACAATAATATTAACATTCAGAATTCCGGTAGCTAGATAGATAGATTTTTTTAGCTTTGCGGTACATACAGTAATACAACAATGTGTGTGTGTGTGTGTGTCTGTGTTTTTGTGTGTAAATAAATTCAATGTTAAATGAATATTAGTATTAGGTTTCAGTACAATATGAGCCGTATAGTGCACTTAAAGGTCATATACACATCTAAAGTATTATGCATTATTTTAATCTTTGATAATTATAATGAGACTTTACTTTGTCAATTCAGTTTTAGAATGTGACGTAATAATAATAAAATACAAATGCCTCGATCCTCCTGCACTTGCCTCAGTTCGACCGTCTGCCTGTACATTCCTACATCCCTTAACCTTCAGCCTGAAGACCCACTACAGACCTGTCTGACAGTCTGCATTTAAACACACAATGCCTGAGATACTTTTGCTCGTGCCAAAACCCTCCTCCTCATCAGCGCCTCAGCATCTCTGTTTGACTTCCCTCCTGTATACCGTATGTATAATTTGAAGGTTTCACAGTTGAATTACAGAAAACCTTTGAGCAATATTCTAATTTTCAGAGTTTCACCTGTATCTGAAACACAGGTCTCAGTAAATGTGGATCATTAACATTCTGTATTTAACTGAAAAACATTGTTCTAACACATTTAAAACCACAGTGCATTACCTTTCACCAGTGTATGTTTGTCTGTCGGAGAGGAACGGGCCAGAACTCTCAATTTGGGCCAAACTTTGTCCATCCTCTCCTGTTCGACCTAGAAACAGAAACAATTCATATATTCAGTTTGTGTCTAAGAAAAAGCGACGTTCAAAGAGCCTGGAGACGGGGGTATTTTTGTATCCAGCTATTTTTAAAAGCAGTGCTCTGTGTCATCTCTGTCTCAGCTGTTTCCTGCTTTAGAAACGGAAAGAAAGTCTTTGTTGACTCGAATCTCCTGAGTTATACCTCGTCCCATCTTAACAAGGATTTACCAGAGAATTACCAGAGATTTACCACAAAATAATGGAACGAGATTGATTGGTTTGAGAGAAAATCCAATTGAACTGTGTGGGAAACAGCCTGGTTCTTCAATATGTGATGGAACAATTACAAGAGGATAATGGGACCAGATTATAGTAAAAAATATATAGTAAAAAATGACCACACAACCTGACACACAGACACATACACTCTATCTCTGGTCTCTCTCTCACACACTCTCTCTCTCTCTCTCTCTCTGGTCTCTCCCTCACTCGCACACACACACACACACACCCACACACACACACTCTCTCTCTCTAGTTTCTTTATCTCTCTCACACACAAACTCATACACACTCTGTGGTCTATCTCAAAACGCTCGCACACACTTTCTCACACACAAACAAACACACACACACACACATACACACTCTCTGGTCTTTCTGTCTCTCTCACACAAACTCATTCACACTCTGGTTTCTCTCACACGCTCATACACACTCTCTCTCTCAGACACACAAACTCATTCACACTCTCGTCTCTCTCACACACAGTCACACACACACACCTCTCCCTTCTCGTTGCGGATCCTACGGTTGAACTCTTTCCCGTCGATGCAGAGGAAGTCCTCTCCCGGGTGGATGATGCCACACTTGATGGCGATGGCGCGTGCCGTGTTGATGTTGTCTCCGGTCACCATCCGCACCGTGATTCCGGCGCGCTGGCACTTCTGGATCGCATCCGGAACCTGAGCATCAAACACACACAGCGACATCAGGAGAGGCCCCAGACCAGAGAGGGACCAGAAAGGTACCAGAGAGAGAGAGACACCAGAGAAAGAGAGAACAGCGAGACCAGAGAGAGAGAGACCAGAGATTGCATTAGGAACCTGGGCATCAAACTCATGGAACAACAGGTCAGAGAGGCCCTAGACCAGAGGGAGAGAGACCAGGGAGAGACTAGAGAGAGACCAGGGAGAGACTAGAGAGAGACCAGAGAGAGACTAGAGAAAGACTAGAGAGAGACCAGATTTCGATAGCACAGATCATACCCAAGGCAACTCTAAGCGCGTAACAAAACAAGATAGAAACATACAAATCTCATAATACATGGACATTACTTTATACCATTATATATCAAAAATCATGTATAATGCAAGGAACTGGTTTGATGGACTGACTTTGTGGTTTGAAAGTCAGGTACCCCAGCTTTAATACCACAGAACAGAAATTAATCCAACATGTGTTTTTGGATCAGAAACACAAAACGCCAGCAGATATTTATACTGCTGTAAAAGCGTGGGAAGTGAGAGGAGTATTAATGCAAGTCCCATGCGGTCGCGGGGTCAGAGGTCACACACAAGGAGGTGGGATGCTGCGTGTTCGCCACCCACTCACCCGCTAAGCACACGCGTGTTTGAACCGAAGACCACATGTGCAGAGATGAAATGGCTCACCACAACATATATGTTTACTGGAGCTGTTTTAATGAGCCGTTTTAGCAAGTTTTGAAGCGAGAAATGAATCAATAATGTGGCTGCGGAACGGCTTAATGAGTGAAAGAAAAACAAGCAATTATAAGTTTTGGACTAAAGAGAATGCATTTTGTAAGGGAATACGTAACGAGATATGCAGGGTTCTCTACGGGCCATCGCAGGGGTGATGTGTTCTAAAAAATAACCCACAATAAGTGAAATCCTTGAAGTAGCAGCTGTATGTTTTAAGGCTGTAAAACCCTCACACTTTTATACACTTTTGTAACCAGCTGAACTCACAACTGATGAAGAGAGAGAGAGACCAGCGAGAGAGACCAGAGAGAGACCAGAGAGAGACCAGAGAGAGACCAGAGAGAGAGAGCAGAGAAAGAGACCAAGGAGAGACCAGAGAGAGACCAGGGAGAGACCAGGGAGAGACCAGAGAGAGACCAGGGAGAGACCAGGGATATAGAGAAAGGAGAGAGAGAGCAGAGAAAGAGACCAACTAGAGACCAGAGATCAGAGAGAGACTGAGAGAGGCCAAAAAGAAACCAGAGTGAGACCAGAAAGAGAGAGAGAAGCCAGACCCTGGACTGATTTAAGTGGTTTTAAATGAATCATCTCATCCAAAATAAATAAAATTAGTGATTTCTGTTCATTTTCTTGGTGCTCTTTCTGAGTTGATGACTCAGCGTCACCACCTGCTCTATATTTGAACAGTGTGAGAGTCTGTGCGCCTCAGATTATAATGGCAGCCATGCTTCCATCAGTCTGCCTCGGGACGACAGCAGGTGCTGGATGTCATTAGTGTTGAAATAATAAAAACTAGATTTAAAAACTTTGACAACAATTCTACAACTGCAGCTGCTACTTCCACTACTAGTATTATTACTACTACTGCTGCTGATACATCTAACTGTTACACTACTGCTGATACCTCTACTACTACTACTTCTACTACTACCACAACCGCTACTGCTGCTACTTCTCTTACTGCTGCTGTTGCTGCTACTACTACTTCTGCTACTTCTACTACAAATACTAATAGTACTACTGCCGCTGCTGCTCCTTCCACTACTGCTATTATTACTGCTACCGCTGATACCTCTAACTGTTACACTGCTGCTGATACCTCTGCTACTACTATTATTACCACTACTGCTGCTGTTGATACTTCTAACACTACTGCTGATACCTTTACTACTACTACTTCTGCTACTACTTCTCCTCCTGCTGCTGTTGCTACTTCTCCTCCTGCTGCTGTTGCTACTGCTGCTACTACTTCTCCTCCCGCTGTTGCTACTGCTGCTACTTACTACTACTACTACTACTACTACTACTACTACTACTACTGGTGTATCACTGTGGCTGAAGAAAAATGAGCAAAAGTCACTATATGAGCTAAATACGTATAATCTCTGCCCTGTTTCGGGTGATCTGAGCATTCAACATGAACAAAGCTCTTAAAGACACGTTTAATGCTTTTCTCTTGAACTTTTCCTCCGTCTGCACATCACAGTCGAGCACTATCGCTTCAATCAGAGACAGAACATGTTCCAATCCCCCGCACACACAGACACTCTCCGGCAGGCAACCAACGATCAGCCGTTGGAGTGACGCTCTGTCAGAATCCCAGGTAATTACGTCTCCAATTTGCATAATTGCTTGATCACTAGAGGTGATTACATAACATCTTTTAGCGAGGGGGGGAAACGTCAGCTTTCACATGGCTCGTACATGTGTGGAGCAGATATGGAAGTGCCATAGGAGCAGATAGAGGCAGAGCGGGGAGGAGGGGGATGAAATAAGAGCTAAATTATGTAGAGAGAGAACAGAGAGAGAGAGCGAGACCAGAGAGAGCCCAGCGAGAGACAAGGGAGAAAACAGAGAGAGAGAGACCAGAGAAAAAACAGAGAGAGACAAGAGAGACTAGAGAGAGGCCGGAGAGCGACCAGAGAGAGGAAAGAGAGATAACAGAGAGACAAGACAGAGGGACCAGAGAGAGACTAGAGAGAGACCAGAGAGAGCTCTCACACGTACGTACATGTGTGAAGGAGATATGGGAGAGCCATCGGAGCAGATAGAAGCAGAGGGGGGAGGAGAGGGGGGAGGGTGGGGAGGATGAAAGAAGAGCTAAATTATGCAGCAGTCACTTACAGCTCGGCTCTACCTGGACGCGAGCTGACAAAACTGCTTATTCCTCTACTGCATAACAATATGACACGCGCATTGGACTTGACACCGCTCCGAAGTCTGGCATTCATTAAAAATCTTGGCAGAGAGGAAAGGATTGGACCGAACAGAGACATTTAAATGGATCAAAACCAACTCAGGGCAATGCCAAACAAGCCTCATACATCGCTAGACAGTAACTACAATAAGCACTGTTGAAAAAAAAATACACCGTTTATTTTTGGCAAGTGAAAACGGTTTTGTATGAGATCTATATAACGCATTGACTGTACACAGATGGACAATGCTAACAAGCAAACTCAATGGAGCCCAATAGTAAGTGCTCATGGATGAAGTTTGGCGCCAACTCTGGCTCCTATTGAGTTCCATGGAAGAGTAAACTTCTCAGTGTCTCTCGCTCTGGTCTCTTTCTCTCTCTGGTCTCTCTCTCTATGGTCCCTCTCTATCTCTCTTTTCAGTCTCTCTGGTCTCGCTCTCTGTTCTCTCTCTCTCTCTGGTCTCTCTTCCTCTCTGTTCGTTTTCCCAAGAATTTCAGATTAATTTAAAAAAATCAGTTCAGGGCTGATCAGCTGCAGTATCTGGTGAGTAATGCCTACATGATCTACATTACTGTAGTATAAAGTGTGTGTTTGTGCGTTTGTGGACAGTGTATAGCAGTCGTTAACCTCTGCCATGTCTTCACTTTACTATTTGGGTTTTTCAAAACTACTCCAGGGATTTTGAACGGGGAATTTCCTCGCAGAACCCGAGTGGACTGCCCCATTGCAGACAGAGACCAACCGTTGTATTAGCCTCAATAAATAATGCATATACATCTATTATTAGTGTGTAGGGGAACACACAAGACATGTTATGCTGCTGCCTACTGTACATGTTACCTTTGAAGGCCCTGCAGGCACCGCTCAGACCATAAAGAGACCATCCTTCATCACAGACCCAGAGAAGAAAATAGAGCAACATACAGCAAGCAACATTTTCACTAGCCGTACAAGAGAGTAAAGTAGAACAGAGCAGAGGAGAGCAGAGCGAAACAGAGCAGAGTAAATAAGTACCGGTAATAGCGCCTTTCACTGACCAGAGTCACAAAGCACTTTACAATCGTTGTGGGTATTTGTCACACACAGAGATGGGAGCGAGGTGTCCATACAGGAGGCCCATGCCAGACCTATTGTACATGCTTTTAGTGGTAGGGGAAAACCGGAGTACTCTGAGGAAACCTACGCAGACACAGGGAGAACATGCAAACTCCACTCAGAAAGGCCTCGTTCTGACCGGGATTCGAGCCCAGGAGAAGCGAGAGTGCTGAGTAGAGCAAAGCAGAGCAGAGTAGAGTACTAACCAGGCCCTGCCCTGCTTAGCTTCAGATACCTGTTCTGGCTTTCACCTGCAGGTATGGCCACATCATAGGAATGAATTTTTTGTAAATAAAGAGTTGAATTGAATTTAGATCATTTTGCGTGAGAATGTGATGAGGGAAATCCATTACATCTAGGGTTCAAAGTTAATTCTGTATAGTGGATTCCCAAAGGGGGACCGGGCAACGGATAAAGCAGAAGAAAATGGAATCCCCCTTCACCAAAAACTTCAGCCTCGGCACTGTGCGTCTCACCTCGGGTCGGACCGGGTCTTCGATGCCGACCACACAGATGGCCACCAGGTCGTTCAGGATGTTGTTCTCGTCATCCCAGTTGGGTTCCGGAGATCCAGGGAAGTCTCGGTACGCCACACAGATGGTCCGCAGCCCGTCACACGCCATGGGCTCGATCACCTTCTTCACCATCTCGTCTTTGTCCCTCGGACGGAAGACCCGCGGCTCGCCGGCCTCATTTAGGATGTGGTTACATCTGTCGAATAAGCACTGGTTTAGAACAGTCAGAGAGACCAGAGGAAGACCAAGCAGAGACCAGAGAGAGAAACCAAAGAGAAACCAGAAAGGATATAGAGAGAGACCAAACATATCAGCGAGAGAGGAGAGAAATAAAACATCTCATCCACAACTGCCACAAAAACTCCAAGCTGTCATAAATGTTAAAGGGCAACACACGCTATTGAGGACAGGGGGATGGAGACTTCTGATCATGGTGAGGAGGGGAGATGGACACACACATGAATTGGATACTGACTTCTTGAGGACGATCTCGGAGGCGCCCTTGCTGTACATCCGGAAGCTCCCGTCGGACAGTTTGATCACGGTGCTCATGGACTTCCGAACCGAGTTGAAGGTGTAGACCTTGTAGAGTTTCTCCTCAGGAATCTGGTTCCGGATTGGCTGATAGTCTCGCTTTAGGTCCAGCACCAGTCCCAGCAGACCACACTCTGTCTTATTCCCCACTTGTTTGGGCAGACCTCCTTCCTTATCTGGAGGCTGTGGGAGAGAGGGACATTTCATTTATTTCTTTATTTCTCTGATATGGAATTAACAGTTCATCTGAAAGGACCAGATGCACTTCCTTTAGACAATATCACAATGAAAACACCAGGATCACAGAGAGCAATAAACCACAGATTTAAGCCAAAAATGGAGAGCGCGACACAAGAGTTTACTTTTACATGCAAGTCAATAGGAGCCAGAGTGAGATGGAGCCAAACTTTGTCTATGGGCACTTCCCTAATGGTCCTCATTGACCATATTGTCCATCTATTTGAAGTGTATGTTAGCATTGTCTATATACATGGTTTAAGATCACAGATCAGATTAATATTCTTTATTCATCCCAGTGGGGACATTTCTGTGTTGCCGGTTAAATCACCGGTTAAATAACTAGCTCCTCATTTCTAAAGTAGAAATGAGGAGCACACAGCAAAGGTGAAGTGTACAATGACTCTATACAAAATAAAATACAATCTCTAACTTTAGCATAATAAAGAAGCAAGTTATAAAATCTCTACCTAAATACAGAAATAAGAAATACATACATCTGTACATGTTCTATATTGCACATCCTGACATTATTCAGAATATTATTGCACTGTAAAGTAAGTAAAGTATGAGTTTTATGACATTTTCTGCTTTGTATCTTTCTTCACTGAATGATAGCTTCCTGTGTGGAGCTGTGTGGAGCTGTGTGGAGCTGTGTGGAGCTGTGTGGAGCTGTGTGGCCAGTGCAGCGTCCTGAAATAGCTGATAGTGCTAATAAAGCATCAGGTGAGAGGCTGGTCCTCTGTGGGAGGGGGGGAGAGGGGAGAACACAGCGATGCAATCAAACTGTTTTTATTCTGGGCAGGGATTGGCTCGGTGCTGCTGTAATCGCACACTCGAACTGTGTTTGAACGCCTCAATGACCCTCCAGATGTCCACACCACCAAAGGAGAACCTGAAGTTACTGAATAAATCCCAAGAAGGTTTTGTACACATCGTGATGGAGCAGTGGTGCGAGACTGAATAGAATGTATCCAAGTGAAACCAAAGATTATCGTCTGTAACAAAGACAGAACTGTTGTGAAACTGAACCCTAGCCCTGTTTGCACCACTCTTTCCATCTCTACTCTACCAGAGGAAGAGAGACACGGAAGAGAGAGAGAGACTGGAGACAGAAACCAGGGAGAGAGATATGGAAGAAACCAGAAAGAGACTAGAGTGAGAGACCAGAGAGAGAGAGAACACAGAGAGGTATCAGAAAGAGACCAGAGATGCCAGAGAGAGAGAGACCAGAGAGACAAACTAGAGAGAGGAGAGATTGTCTCTCTCTGGTCTCTCTCTGATCTCTCTTTGGTCTCTCTCTGATCTCTCTTTGGTCTCTCTCTGGTCTCTCTCTGATCTCTCTTTGGTCTCTCTCTGGTCTCTCTTTGGTCTCTCTCTGGTCTCTCTCTGATCTCTCTTTGGTCTCTCTCTGGTCTCTCTCTGATCTCTCTTTGGTCTCTCTCTGATCTCTCTTTGGTCTCTCTCTGGTCTCTCTTTGGTCTCTCTCTGGTCTCTCTCTGGTCTCTCTCTGGTCTCTCTCTGATCTCTCTTTGGTTTCTCTCTGGTCTCTCTTTAATCTCTCTTTGTATTAGAACTAATTATAATAAACTACGGTAAGCTGCAGTGTGCTTTAGTACAGTACAGTCCAGTACAGTACATTTGTACACTTCTATTCGGGTTCTGAGAGCATGCAGAATGTCCCCAAAGGCAAGAAACCCTCCTCTGAATTGTTCCAATTTAATTGATGACAAGAATTCTCTTCTTTAATGTCTTAGAACGCTCTGAGGTAAGGTTGTAATTGATCTATTATCTGCTGTAACATTACATTATGCAGAGGTACGAGTTGTTCCTGTTAACAGCTACAAAAACAATTCTACATTAACTCTTTATTGACGCGTGTATGAATACAGATCACAGTTCAGCTCTGTCGTCTCCGTGGCAACGTCAGGTCAGGCTATAACATTATTACCTTGAACTGAAGCAACAAGTCCAGCAATCAGCGGCGTGTGTGGGAGACGGAGGAATCCTGCAGTGTTCTCAGGTCTCTCTCTTTACATTTAAACGTAAGTGAATATAAGCCAGAGCAAGTTGAAGCCAAACTTCACCATGAGCACTAACCCATTTGGCTTCATTGAGTCAGCTGGTTACCATCGTCCATCTGTATACGGTCAATGAGAATAATATAAAATAGTCATTCTAAAGGACACTTTTACTCCAGTTTTCCAATCCCTTTCTCTAATAATCCGCCCTAGGAATATCTCTCTGGTCTCTCTCTCTTTCTCTCTCTCTCTCTGGTTTCTCTTACTTCTCTCTACCTATGGTCTCTTTTTGGTATCTGGCTTCATGTGTGTCCACATTAGCTGGCACCAGTGATGGGAGAGCTTCCCCTGGGGTCTTCTAGGACTTGACACCTACACTCGGAGCGAAAGAACAGCTTGTCAGGTGCCCACCTCTCTCTCCTCTCCACAACGTTTCAACTCGCACCCGCCAGTCTGCGGCGTTTAGCTCAAAATAGACTGAGCGACACGATAGCCCTGCACTCGCTGATGAGCTTCAGTCCAGGAACAATACTACTTTATGTGAAAATAAAAAAAATATGACCAATGCCTCAATCATTTAGATACTTCATAGCAAATTCAGCAATAGGTAAATGTTATGAGGCTGGTAAACATATCAAATGTAGACTGTAAGCATAGACTGTATATGAGGAGAGGACTGACAGAGCGTGACATCACCGTTTTCTCAGTTCCCAGTCCTGAAGTCCTCTCACATTAGTCCTGGTCTTAGGTCTCTGCACTGGCTTCGTGTGGCTCAGAGAATAAACTTTAAAGCAGCTCTTCTTGTGTACAAGTCTCCTAATGGCCTCGAACCAAAGTACATCTGTGACAAGCTAGTGCCATATAAATAAACTCGGACTCTGAGGTGCCCAGACTCAAGGCTAAACATGGAGAGGTAGCATTTCACATTTTTGCAGCTAATATCTGGAACAGTCTTCCTGAAAATGTGAGACAGGCTCCTATTCTGAAAATGTTCAAAACCAGGTTAAAAACATTTCTGTTTCACTTCAACAACTGAAGGATTGTATCTTTACTCTTTTTAATCTACTGTGATTATTTATGTCTTTGAGTTCCCTTGTGTATAAAGTGTGCTATACAAATAAACCTGCCTTGTGTTGTGGACATAAGGATCTCTGTCTCATTCAAATACATGGGAGGCTGGAGTTAATGCGCTCGCTTCCACATCCGTCTCTCTCACCTCTCTCAGAAAAACAATTTGGCTCGGTTTATTAGCATTCTCTATCAAATCCTTGTTAGCGCCCGGACACAGACACCATTATCCTCAGAAACCAATTCAAACGTGCGATTAATGTGATTCACCACAAACACACTCTGACGCTCTGTATCACCGCTCAGCAAGAAGAGGATTTACACTGTGGAGATGCAGCCGTCTTTAAAGGGCCCGACATTATACAGTAGAGTTAGCACCTTCACTTTGGCCTTAAGTGATGTGTAAAAAATGCGTAGCAGTAAGTGTACATGCAAAGTCAATGATGAAGTACATCCTAGCGGGCTTGTCCGGAGAAAGATTTGCAGAGCGGTTGTGCATATGGCGACTCGACGCACGTGCAGCCACCAACCAGAGAACAGCAAAGTGGTCACGGTGGCAAAAGCCAGTCAGAGAATGAAGACGAAAAAACTAAAGTTAAAGCTATACAAGGATTTAATGTGGACTAAAACAGGATTAAACCAACCACCATGGGGGACACTTGTGGACATATACCTGAGTTCTCATTCTACCGTGAGTGGATAAAAGTGCTGCTCACGTGATCGTTGATACAAAAATACGGGGTCGGCCCGATGTTCCCCGGGTCCGGTGTTCCCCGGGTCCGGTGTTCCCCGGGTCCGGTGTTCCCCGGGTCCGGTGTTCCCCGGGTCCGGTGTTCCCCGGGTCCGGTGTTCCCCGGGTCCGGTGTTCCCCGGGTCCGGTGTTCCCCGGGTCCGGTGTGCCCCGGGTCCGGAGTTCCCCGGGGCGGGGAACACCGGACCCGGGGAACATCGGACCTTCCAAACGCCGGAGGGCCCGGTGTTCCCCGACTGCGGGCCTCGCTCATAGACATGTTATTGCTGCGCGCGGATAATGGAGCAACAAGCGGCTTTCGCTCATAACTAGTCTATAGGGCTACTGAATACTTTATATTATAAGCCTTGTAGATCTCGCATTGTAGTAGCCAACTACATTTTTACAACCTACCACCTCAGAATAAGAACGTGTTGCAGATAAGAAAAGTAAAATTAGCTCCACCACCTTTTCTTTTTGGAAACATATCTCCCTCCGTTCATCCTCGCAACAGTATCGGCGCCAGGTTTGCAATTTTGGGTAGGCCTGCAGATTAGTAAGTAGGCCAAATTCGCTTGCAAACTACAAGGGCTAACTGGAATTGGGGTTTCAAAGAATATGGTTCAAACGCACACACGCTTTGCACACGCACTCACGCGCGCACATACACACAAGCTCATTTATGAAACTTGCGTTGAAAAAGGTGTACATTTTGGGTGTATATTCCATTTACGCAATTTGCCAAAATGTTTTGATACATTAGAAAAATCCTTCTTGAATTGTAGAAGTGAATAAATATAGATTGATTGAATGAATGAATGAATTCATATATATTATGCAGCGGTGGCTCTCATGAATGAAGCGTCTGCAGCGTCTTGGACGCAGCCTGGCTCGGGGTAGAAGTGCGCATTGAGGCGCTGTACACTTCAGAGAGCGTTTGCGGTCCAGATTTCACAAAGAAACTCTGGAGCCAAAACTTCTGCACATGTGGCGCGACCTCTCACGGCACTCGCTGCGCACTCTGGACAGGGCAGTGAGACGTTTGAGTGAGCAATACCATCGATGCGTTATTGGGGTGTGTGGCTGTGTGAGGCTTACACAAATCTAATGAAATAACACATTGCTTTACCAGATGTGAATGAGGAATACAAATAGCCGTGCGTAATTACGCAGCGCAGAGCCTGCCACAGCAATAGATGGGTCACACATCCCTGTTGCGTAAAGTGTATTTATATAGAGCCTTTGACTGTCCAAGATCACAAAGCGCTTCACATTTTAAAAACATACAGATCAAAATAATACACACACAAGTCAGATTTAATAGAGGGTCCTCATCATGAGCTGTGATTTATTCGAAGTTTGCGTGTTTCCATTAGACTTTTTCTGATGCGCAAATTCAAATTTTGAAACATGATCCTCAATGAAAACACAGCATATAATTTTGCCAGAGGGAATATGTTTATTGTTGTACATATCTTGAATTTCATGCGTGTTGTGCCGAAGGTTGAGTTCAGCGTATAGATTTACACCACCTCCAGACCTGGCGTTTATTTTTTGCGTATTGTACGCTCACGTCCAGATAGATAAATGCGGAAAAGTGTAATATTTTGCGTGCGCCTCATTTACCCTGATTTGGCCGTACGCAGGTTTCATACATGAGGCCCACAGTGAGGCCCACAGTGAGGCCCACAGTGAGGCCCACAGTGAGGCCCACAGTGAGGCCCACAGTGAGGCCTACAGTGAGGCCCACAGTGAGGCCCACAGTGAGGCCTACAGTGAGGCCCACAGTGAGGCCCACAGTGAGGCCCACAGTGAGGCCCACAGTGGGGCCCACAGTGAGGCCTACAGTGAGGCCCACAGTGTGTCTCACACAGGCCTAGAGTTTACCTCATCAGTGCGAGGCCAGCCTGGCCTGACCCTCCTCCTCTGGGACCTACGGGCCCGGGCCTCTGGCTACTCTACCTCACAAAGTTCACGCTGAACTTTCTTAAAATTAAAATGAAAAAGGCTGCTCTGTTGTGAATGCTTTAAGAGCGTTGTCAATCTTTAAGACGAGGAATAGCTGGTTGTCCTCGCTTCACGCTGTGATATGATATTGGACAAAATTGTTCAGCCAATAAACAGGACTATATTTGAAGCAACGTAGGAACGTGATGACGCTCAGGGGGTTATATTATTATTATAATTATTATTATTATTCCCCCCACTGTAGGAGCCAATACATTTTTCAATATTTTTGAATTCTGAGCGTTTCCAATTGTATTTAAAAATGGGAAACCTAATTAAACAATCATGAATTGAGCTTTTCGGATCTTATTTTACACTGATTCCTTTGATCATTTTTTTCTTAAAGTTCAAGTTGTAAAAATGCTATGTTTGAATTGGTTATTTACATTTTAACTGTGAGTGACACGTAAGGCGGGACAACAATGCACAATGACGCACGCATTCTGAATAGAATAATATGTATTAATATCTCTAAAACTAAAAGAGCATATTCAAGTTTTACAACAAAAACGACGTCATATGCGTGTCCATTATGCGTAAAAGCACAGTGCCCTCAGCAAAACCACGTATTTGTAAAAACTATAGGCTAACAGATGTAGTAGCTCTAGTTTCAATCGTCCTCATTTTATTCAGTCAGACTTGTCAAATATAGATGCCCGGGAGAGTGAGCAAGGGGAGATAACATGCCCATAACATGCCCAAAAATATCCTGCATAGACTCAAGCTGCGATCAGCTGAAATATGAGCACACAAAGAGCGAGAGGGAAAAAGAAAAGTAAATAGGCTTAGGCTAGTTAGTATTTTTTCTCTCACAAAAGTTGGCGCGGATCATATGCCATCTTTCGTGGAGGAGGAAACATCCAACATCAAAGGGCGCACGCGGGGAACAGCGGCACTAGTCTCGTTGTTGAAGTCCCGATGTTCCCCCACTTCTATTGGCGGGGGAACATCGGACCCGGGGAACATTGGGACTTTTTAATACGCGAAGTACCGATGTTCCCCGGGTCCGATGTTCCCCCGCCTATAGAAGTGGGGGAACATCGGACCCGGGGAACATCGGACCCGGGGAACATCGGTACGCACCCAAAAATACCAGTTAATAATACAGTAAAATACATCCATGGTGCTCTTGTTGAAGAACATTAAACAAAAAAACTCGCTAGCATCAAAGCCCACCACCACTTCCGCCCTGAGTTTTTTGCCATTGCAGGGCACTGCGTCAGATTTACCAAACTCATGCAATTGAAATTTAGTGAAGGTGTGTCCAAGATGCATCGGCGTTGGGACCGCAGCTGAAGCACTTCTTAACATTGTCAAAGTTAAAGCCTGTCTGACATTTTCAGGAAGACTGTTCCCGATTTTAGCTCCACAAATCTGGAATGCTGCCTCCAAATGTTTAGTCCAAACTCTTGGCACCAGCAGGAGGCCCGTCCCTGTGCACCTCAGAGTCCCAGTTGGTTCATATGGCACTAACATGTCACAGATGTACTTTGTTGCGAGGCCATAATGGTGAGTGTGACACAAACGGCTACTAAGCTAGAGGAGTTTACTTTTGAATATAAGTCCATAGAAGCCAGAGAGAGAGTAAGCCAAACGTTGCAATGTGCATTTCCCTAGCGGGCTTCAATGCTAGCAGGTTAGCATTGCCCATCTGTATACAGGCTATGTTCAACCATTAAACAGAACAGTGCTCTGCTGTTACAGAACAACTGGCGCTGGCTAATGACCCTGATGAAATTAGTGATTACAGCAGGACGGACGCTGGTTGTCATTTGCTAACGAGTGCTTAAACTAATGAGGCAGAGAGCAGAGGTACAGAGGGGGCCGACATGACAGACCCTCCAACCTGAAGAGTCCAGAGGGAAACACACAGCAGATGTGTCCAGGGAATCAAACCTACAGGACCTGGGAATGGTCACGTAAAACTGGAACAACCAGGCATTTAGTGATATATATCTAATTATATCTCGGAGGCTGTATACAGATGGACAATGCTAACCTGCTAGCTCTAGGAAGCATAATCATGGATGTATTATTATTATTATTAATATTAATCTTAGTTTCAGACTCAAATTATATCGGATTGGATATTTAAAAAAATCTTACACATATTCCTGTACATGATGTGGACGGTGTCAATGCTTAAACCTGTCTCAACATAGACTAGAGGCCACCCACGGTACTGCAGCCTGAATCCACATCCAAAGAGTATTTTGTAAGGATTTGTAGGGTTCCTTGTCGTCCATTTTCTCTTTTGAAATCCATTACTCTAGTGCAACTATCCATTACTCTAGCGCTTTAGCCCCACTCGGTCCCTCTCTGTTTTTGCTGTATTTTTATTGTTATATTCACCAGTTTTAGCAGTTATTATATTTGATTTAGTGACTGATAATTTACCACAGAGTCATAACCACGTCCTGGCCCCTGTGTGTATAAGCCAGTTAACTAAAATAATGAGTGTTGATGAATGGGACCAGCCCTAATGAGCACGTATGGATGGGAGGCTGGCGCGTGATTTGGCCCGTGCCGAAGTGCTTGGCGTGGGGGTGGAAGCAGCTGGCCTCTCCCTCGGCCCTGGAGGCTCCTGGAGGCTCCTGGAGGTTCCTGGAGGCAGAGGACATATGCACTGGCACCCACACTTCCTGCTCCACCTGCGACACTCCCTAATCCCCCATGACACACAGCCTGCTTGCTTTTTATGTGGTTTATTTGGTTTCCCTGTTTCTTTGATAGAGTAGCAAATTGTCTCTCTGGGGCCCATCTGTCTTAGTCAGTTCTATACATTATGCTAATTTTACTTTTTCATCTCTCTTTTTTCTCAATTTTACAACCATAGTCTACAGTCTCTGTCCTTGAACTACACTTTCAGCCTCAGTCTTGGATCTACAACCTCAGACCTGGACTACAACCGGTCGATCCGCGAGAGCAGGTTTATCTCTCAATATGGACATGCCAAGGTTTCTCGCATTTTTTCCCCACAGGGTTTCTGAGTGCTTCCTCGCATTTCTGCACATTTATAAAATTTCTGGACAGTGGTCATCCTGCTCCCTATAGACCAATGGCTCCTATGGGTTTGTTATCATTGCATTTCATCTGTTTGATTCTCTGTCTGTTGTGATTTAGGGCGAAACACAAATACATTGAATTGAATTGACTAAATAAACAGCACATTTGAATCTGATACAGGCCAAAACGATTTGAGTACAAAGCCAACAGCCGAAGCCAAAACACAATCTGTATTCTGTTGTTTACAGCTCTCACCGACCTGAGCTTTAATGATTTGTTAATGCGTGAGTGTGGGGTCGATTACATTCATCTAGAGAGTTTAGAGAGAGGATAGAGAGAAAGAGAAGAGGGAGAGAGCGAGGAGAGATAGTTTTAAGAGAGAGGAGAGTGAGATGTGTGATTGTGAGGCCAATTACAAAACACAATACATAATGCAAACATCTGTAACAACAGTGTATCCTGTAACTGACTGTAGAACATCCAACTGTACAGTAGGTCCCATTCCGTTTTGTCGTCTTCATTCACGCTTCTCGGGAATCACGCAGCTGCGTGAAAAATAGTACATCTTATCGCCACAAGGTGGCAGGCTAAGTCCGCTTTAGCTCTGCCAGCGACTTAGACGCTCAGGTATAAGACTGCGTGCAAACCTGTCTAGCCCAGAGGTGCTTTGTTGGCCGAATGGATAGCATTAAATACAGGGACCTGGAGAACCCAGGTTCGATTCTTGTCTGAGGCACATCTTTGGTTGCTTGTGGCAAAATTGTTTTTTCATTAAACAATTATTATATAACATCTTGTCTTTAATGTCTGAAAAAATCTAGGTGAAATTCACTAGTGTTATACGTTAAATATTGTGATATGTTTTGATAAACCGAACGTTACGTTACATCCTCCGCTCTGGCCCCGAGAGCAGCTGCTGTGACCCCCGCTCTGACAGCTCAGTGAACGCACTGCCGTCTGGGCTCCGAGCGCGGACCATAGACACGCGGACTCACGTCTCTCTCTCTCTGCTCGCGTCTCTCTCTCTGCTCGTGTCCCTCTCTCTCTGCTCACGTCTCTCTCTCTGCTCACGTCTCTCTCTCTGCTCGTGTCCCTCTCTCTCCTCTCACGTCTCTCTCTCTCTGCTCGCGTCTCTCTCTCTGCTCGTGTCCCTCTCTCTCTGCTCACGTCTCTCTCTCTCTCTCGTCTCTCTCTCTCTCTCGTGTCCTCTCTCTCTGCTCACGTCTCTCTCTCTCTCTCTCTCTCTCTCTCTCTCTGCTCGCATCTCTCTCTCTCTGCTCGCATCTCTCTCTCTCTGCTCGCATCTCTCTCTCTCTCTCGCTCGCATCTCTCTCTCTCTCTCTCTGCATCTCTCTCTCTCTGCTCGCATCTCTCTCTCTCTCTCTCTCTCTCTCTCTCTCTCTCTCTCGTCTCTCTCTCTCTGCTCGCTCTCTCTCTCTCTGCTCACCTCTCTCTCTCTCTCTCGCGTCTCTCTCTCTCTCTCTGCTCACCTCTCTCTCTCTCTCTGCTCACGCCTCTCTCTCTCTGCTCACGTCTCTCTCTTTCTGCTCACGTCTCTCTCTCTGCTCACGTCTCTCTCTGCTCTCTCTCTCTGCTCGCGTCTCTCTCTCTCTGCTCACGTCTCTCTCTGCTCTCTCTCTCTCTCGCGTCTCTCTCTCTCTGCTCACGTCTCTCTCTGCTCACCTCTCTCTCTCTGCTCACGCCTCTCTCTCTCTGCTCACGTCTCTCTCTGCTCACGTCTCTCTGCTCCCGTCTCTCTCTCTCTGCTCTCGTCTCTCTCTGCTCACGTCTCTCTCTCTCTGCTCACGTCTCTCTCTGCTCACGTCTCTCTCTCTGCTCGTGTCCCTCTCTCTCTGCTCACGTCTCTCTCTCTCTCTCTCAGTCTCTCTCTCTGCTCGTGTCCCTCTCTCTCTGCTCACGTCTCTCTCTCTCTGCTCGCATCTCTCTCTCTGCTCGCATCTCTCTCTCTCTCTCTCCCATCTCTCTCTCTCTCTGCTCACCTCTCTCTCTGCTCACACCTCTCTCTCTCTGCTCGCATCTCTCTCTCTCTGCTCGCATCTCTCTCTCTCTGCTCGCATCTCTCTCTCTCTGCTCGCATCTCTCTCTCTCTCTGCTCGCATCTCTCTCTCTCTCTCTCTCTCTCTCTCTCTCTCTGCTCGTCGTCTCTCTCTCTCTGCTCGCGTCTCTCTCTCTCTGCTCACCTCTCTCTCTCTCTGCTCGCGTCTCTCTCTCTCTCTCTGCTCACGCCTCTCTCTCTCTCACGTCTCTCTCTTTCTGCTCACGTCTCTCTCTCTGCTCTCTCTCTCTCTCTCGCGTCTCTCTCTCTCTCGCTCACGTCTCTCTCTCTCTCTCTCTCTCTCTCTGCGTCTCTCTCTCTCTGCTCACGTCTCTCTCTGCTCACCTCTCTCTCTGCTCACGCCTCTCTCTCGCTCACGTCTCTCTCTGCTCACGTCTCTCTCTGCTCGCGTCTCTCTCTCTCTGCTCTCCTCTCTCTCTCTCACGTCTCTCTCTCTCTGCTCACGTCTCTCTCTGCTCGCGTCTCTCTCTCTCTGCTCACGTCTCTCTCTGCTCTCTCTCTCTGCTCGCGTCTCTCTCTCTCTGCTCACGTCTCTCTCTGCTCACCTCTCTCTCTCTCTCTCTCTCTGCCCGCCTCTCTCTCTCTGCTCACGTCTCTCTCTGCTCACACCTCTCTCTCTCTGCTCACGTCTCTCTCTGCTCACGTCTCTCTCTCTCACGTCTCTCTCTCTCTCTCTCTCGTCTCTCTCTCTCTCTCTCTCTCTCTCTCTCACGTCTCTCTCTCTCCTCTCTCTCTCTCTGCTCACGTCTCTCTCTCTCGCGTCTCTCTCTCTCTGCTCACGTCTCTCTCTGCTCTCTCTCTCTCTCTCGCGTCTCTCTCTCTCTGCTCACGTCTCTCTCTGCTCTCTCTCTCTGCTCTCGTCTCTCTCTCTCTCGCGTCTCTCTCTCTCTGCTCACGTCTCTCTCTCTGCTTGCGTCTCTCTCTCTCTGCTCACGTCTCTCTCTGCTCTCTCTCTCTGCTCGCGTCTCTCTCTCTCTGCTCACGTCTCTCTCTGCTCTCTCTCTCTGCTCGCGTCTCTCTCTCTCTGCTCACGTCTCTCTCTGCTCACGTCTCTCTCTGCTCACGAGCGCGGACCATAGACACGCGAACAGAACCACAGACAGACATTTACATTTACATTTACACATACGCAGACAGAACCCAGACAGGCGGAGACACGCGAGACACGCGTATCATAGACACCTGGACAGAACCAGAGACACACGAAGCATAGACACTCGAGTCGGACAGGTCCATTTGTTTTATTTGTGTTTAAAGTTACCTAAGTTTCTCCTTGCATTAAAAATGCTTGGTGGTTGTGGATATTTAGACTGCGTGATTTGATAGAATAATACTGGCAATGTCTAATACATATCTAATTTTCAGTAAATTATAAAGAGAAAGAAAAAGAAGAGGAGGTCAAAATTCAATCCATTGAATATTGAAAGAATCAATACATTCTTGATTTTCGACTAATTCATGAGTGTTGTGTGTTTAATTGGTGCCAAAGTAACATCTTTTTAATCTTCTACAACATAGTGACTAAAACAAGTGTGCCATAACAGAGTAATTCAAAATTTACATGTTATATGTGACTGTGATGATTATGTTTGGAATGTCGATCTTTAAACCTGTTTTTCTCAGAATTCTGTTTCATAAAACCATGTAAATACGCCGACTTCAGATTATGAGAACTTTTGTTACAGACATGCTATGGAGAAAAGGAAAACAGATTTGAAAAGATATTGAAAGCAGCTTTAACACTAGCACTCGCATGGAGGTGTCATTTGGCACTTATACCTATCATCCCCTCCACGGTGTCAAATGACCCCAAGGATTTTAGCTAACAAACGAAATCACCTGTGAACGGCCAACCTTGTTTTGTAAATAGGGCCGTTATCACAGGCTGAGCTTCACTTTGCCATCTTAGGGGGAGGGGGAGGATCTGAATAGTTACAGTTTTTCTCCAGTGGCTTTAGTGCATTTCTCACATCACATAACATTATCATGAGCTTCAGTCAGAATGAAACATACTGTTTTATAACATTATCATGTGCTTCAGTCAGAATGAAACATACTGTTTTATAACATTATCATGTGCTTCAGTCAGAATGAAACATACTGTGTTAAAAATGTTATTACAAAATATATACAGTATATTAATTCTCAGGGTTCACAGTCTGGAAGTCACTCATTCGCAGCCCTTCGGCCCCGTCCCAATACTCGCACTTCCACCCTCGCGCCCCTCATTTGCGCGTTCCCGATAAAGGGTGCGAGTGCGTAGGGTGTCCCAATTCTCCAGGGAGGTCTTTGGCCCCGCCCCCTTTGCGCCCCTGATCCACACTTCGCCGTAGCCTGCATCTATGCGCACTCTGGCGAAGGATATTGCCCCATAATTCTTTGCGGTACACACCAAAACGTCGGGAAAATGCATTTAAATATACATTTTGAAATATATATGCAGTATGTGTGTAAATAAGTTTTGCAATGTTACTTGGAAAGAAGCATAAACGTCTGATGAAGAATTACGGACATTGTGTTTTAACAATTTAATAACTTTTTAAACCAAGCGTTTATATAACATTCAATTTAAACTTTACACTTAGTACAATAATCTTAGAATGTATAAAAACTGACCAGATAACAGTTAGTTACCCACATTTAACTTAAAATTATACAGCTATCTCTAATTAGAAACCACTAATATACATGTATTTTAACGTGTGTGAAGCAATTCATTTAGTTTCCAAAGGATCAGACAAAATTACCTTTAATTTGTATAAAAGTTTAGGTCTGAAAATGACCATCTCTTGACGAGTCGATGACGTAACCTGCACTCAGTGTGCACTGTCCCAATTCCGCCTTTTGTGCACACTTGTAACCTGCGCACTCAAACCCTTGCGCGCACTTCAAACAAATGCACACTTCATAGGAGGGCGTAGGGTGCAGTGTGGGTATTGGGACTGGGCCTTCCTCCCCCAGACGAATAAACAAAGCCCACCCTAGCCCCCTGTTGTTTCGGTCATCACCTCATTTGACATGCAAATGTCTTCTGTTCTCTAGATGTTACAGACAAGGCCCGCATCCTTCCACCACCTGAAGAAGATGTGCCAAGTCTGGGATCGCGTCTTAAATTCAGACAGAAGACATGTTTTATTGTCGATGGTAGAGACAGCACGAACAACAGATACAACAGAATGCAAGTGTATTATACAGAGCGGAGGCATGGAGACCTCCAATCAGCAGCTTCCACGTTGTACTTGTAGCTTGGCCTTCAGATAGACAAAACATGAAGTGGAAAAGTACAGGCTTCTGCACATTGATAGAATGATGAGTTTAACTTTAACAAAAGTTGCTTAAAAGTGTTATGAAATCTCACATTCCCCCCCTCTGGTCACACATTCACGTGTGACCATCAGGATCGATAAACAGCAACATAACATCATAACTCAATACTTAAACTCGGTACTTCAAAAAACTCAGAAAACTCATAAAACATTTTCAAGGATGTCAGCTCTGATAAAAAATTACATGACTTTAAAATAAACATTTATACCAATATGCTTGTGTTCTGAAAAAATAAAACCTTTTAAAGCTTTTCCACGTCAACATTTATTTTTCAATATGTACACTTAAATGTAACTATATATTCAATATTACATTTTGAAACATTAATATTTATCTTCCAACAGAACTCTGTACCATTTTTCCTTACCACTCCAGTTTTAACAACAAAAAAAAGTAAAAAGATGAGTAGACATTTTTTTTTAAAGATTTCTAAAAACTTTCTTGAAGGACTTTGGTTTTAATCATGTTCTAGTCGTTTACGTCTCATTCAAATTCTGAAGTTGTATTTAGAGGGAGTCTGATCAAATACATATATATATATATATATATATAAAACAATTCCTTGTGATATACAATATTTTAAAAAGGAAACAACTACCAATAAAAAGGGCAATGTGAAATGAATATTTTCATCCAAATTTTGATTTTGTTTTCCTGCCTTTAAAAGTTTCAGAACCCCTGTCCTACACAATGTGTAAAATTACTAAATCATAGTGAGTGAACAGATAATTCCCAAATGAACAATCCACATCCCTAGGACAAAAAAAAAAAAATGGCTACATCTACTGCAGAGGGAATTACAAAGGTGTCTGCTGCAACACACAAACATGCAGTTGCAGTTCACAAAACTGATACATTGTGCTTCTAAGCCTCTATAACTCACCATTTTGAATTTTCAAACACTTTTTATATTTGAACAATGTTAGAACAGGGTCAAAAGTGAGGATTCCTTAATTCAAACTTTAAGACAGCTTTTTAAGGAGTGAACTGTATCTCACAGATGCTCTTGGTTTCACAGGACTGAGAGACCAATCAGTAATCTCTGAAAAGTTTCAAATGTGTGCTGAAGCTTGGGTGGGTATTTCAAGTCCAATGCGTATATAACGCCAACAAGAATACAGGAGGCCTTGGCTACAGTGCCCAAACCTGTAATGCATTGAAGGCCATCAATGCTGATCTCGTACGTGTCACCAACTTTGACAATCTTCACTGGATAGGCGATATTCTGCCGAGTGTCTTCAGTTTCCTCCAGACTCTATTTGAGAGGGAAAAATACATTAGACATTGATATGTTTTGATAGTCAATGCAATAGGTTGTGTTCACGTGTTCATTTAAAACTGAGGTGGAGGGCAAGTGAAAATTCCATGGCGTTAACTATGGTAACTGGCAAACTGCATATTTTTTGTCTTAGTTTTTGGTTAATGAGTAGTAGTACTCCTAGTATTGACTGAGATCATTACTAGGAGAATCCACATGAAAAAAACTGTCTCAAAGTTCATTGACTCCTCTTTCAGCACATAATGATTTCAAAAATTGTCATTGGTTTATATTATAAACCAATGACAATTTTTGAAATGATGAGCGTGATGTTGGTCAGTAGAAAGGACTTTCAGCCATACAAATAATAAAGTGGGTTAGTAAATCTAATCACTGTCAAATACTGAAGAGGAAAAACATTTGTCAATTTTTGTTTGAGAGTTCGTACAAAAACTGTATTTCTCCCATAGAGTTGTATTGACAACTGCCCATCATCACATTCTAAAACGTGAACGCAACCTATTCAGAGAAACTGACGGCTGATGAGCTGTGCAGACATTTTCAAGTCGATTATATCTGTTTAATTTTGAGATTTGTCACTAAATTACATAATTTGTGTCTAAATGCATCAGTAACAGCTTAAATATATTTGATACAACACATAAATTCAGCCATTATGTATGTTATAATGTTGCAGGAATTATTTGACGGTACAAATATATATTGTTTGTTCAATTAATGTTTAGAAAAAGTGAGCACACTGTGTGGAATTTCTCACATTTCTGCCTAAATTAGTTTGACAGTAACATTAGACAATATTTGAAGAAAGAAAAGAACTTCCACAAGGAGACGGCGACATGAGGTGCCAAACACATACGCACATACTTTCCCTTTTGACGAGCTGCCATTTAGTGAGTACTAAAGAGCAAAATAAGACAGGACAATGACCCCTGCCTCTGATTGTAGTTTCACGTGCGTTTCAGATAGCACAGTTTTGTGTTAAATATCCTGTGGTATCACTTACGGAGCGCGCATGTGAAGTCATGCGGTAGTTCAGAATCAGAATCAGAATCATTTTTATTGCCAACGTAAGTAACGGGAGGTCACAGACTTGGAAATTGCTTTGGCTCAGTGCAACAGTCAAAAAGAGATAGTAAAAATAAGAATAAAAAACACTTCTAAAGAATAAATTTAAATTTAAAATAGAGTTACAGTTACTATTTACAATATACAAGTGCACATGGTGCACACAATGTAAGGTGACAGCAGTACAGTGAAGTAAAGTGACGTATGATGGGCAGTAAAGTGACTTTATAAAGGGCGGGGGGACAGGTTAAGAAGTGTTCAAGAGTCCAACAGCAGAGGGGAAGAAACTGTTCTTGTGGCGGGAGGTTCTAGTCCTGATGGACCGCAGCCTCCTGCCTGAGGGGAGTGGTTGGAATAGTCCATGTGCAGGGTGAGAGGGGTCGGCTGTGATACGACCAGCCCGGCCTCGAGCTCGGGCGACGTACAGGTCCTGCAGCGATGGAAGGCTGCGGCCGATCACTTGCAAATGTAAATAATGGTACATGGCAAATCATCTCCTTTACCTACTATTAGAAGTACCAGACGCTGATATTTTATTGTCACAAACTCATGTTTTTGTCTTAAAGCATAGCGATAGCGGGTTAGCTCAAGCTTCATCATTGTTTTGTTTAGTTACACTGCAGTCTGGAAAGAGGAGAGCCGACATGCGCAGAGGGATACAGCCGAGCATTTCATCCAGAGCGGTTTTGTAGCCACGAATTACATTTAAAACTCGGTTTAGAGCGGCGCTATACTGTGGAGTTTTCACCAGATTATCTACTGTAAGAAAGTCTGAAATCTACGTTTGATCGGCCCCTCTGATCGGCGCATTTCACCAATCACCGATCACAAAAATTAGGCCGTGATTGACCAATCATGATTGGTGACAGATCAGATCGGTGCACCTTTAATTCATACCATACAGGTCCAGCTGCTTTAGCCAGCTCATGTTCATTCATGTCCAACTGAAGTTTTCCAGTGACCATTCCATCCAGAGGGCTGGGGGAATGTCATATGGTCAGATGTTTGTGAAGGCTCTCATTCATCCAGGGAGTGTCCATCTTATAAAAAGGTTAAATCATCGCCAGGACTGGGTTTTGGTAAAGCTGAGTGATATTGAAAACAATTTGAATAGACATTTTTGGCAGTTTTGGTTCTCTCCTTCTGGAAGGAACCTGGGTCTTTTTAGTTTTTAGTCCAGTTTGGGTAAAAGTGTTCTTTTATGACTTTAAGAGCTCTGAAGAAGCTTGTGTCACTAAAAGCGAAACATCCTCAACTTTACCAAAACCCAGTCCAGTAGATGATTTAACCTTTTCTACATGATTGTAGATTATTCTATGGTCAAATGAGACCAAAATGTTTTTTAAATAATCTGCATATGCTGACTTTTAGCATATGCAGAGGATGAAGAGGATTTGGTGATACTACTACTCTTAATGATAGACATATCAGCATAAGGTACGGTACTTTTTTTATACCCTGAAAAAGAAAAGATTGGAAATTTTACCTGTAGATCTGAAATCAAGTCTCCTGGCTTCTCCCCCATGTATTCAATTAGGCCTCGGATTACGACTTCCCTCCTCTTTTCTATAGCAGCGGTTGGATCCTACGAAACAACATAGAAATAAAAAACACCACGAATTAGGAAGTATTCAGCACTTCTTATCTTGAATATGTTTTCATATTTCTGATTGTGTTCATTTAGATATAAAAACGTATATAATGACAAATGATGGAAAATCTCCTCTCTTGTTGCCAAGGACTCACCGCAAATCTTGCAGGGCACACTCATTTATGCTCTAAATTACAGAAACAAAATCAGTGTGGCCCATACCAAACAGTATCACATGCAAGTATTGTAATGTATTGTAAATACAAGGGATGCAAGAAGACCGAAGATAATTTGTTTGAAGTGTATCAAGCGAATAAAAATATCTAAGATCGCTTGACAGCCCTTATTCATATTCAAAATATTATTTAACAATGAGCATTACAGTAAAAAAAACTCCAGACCCAAAAACGTTTACACCATTGAGTCACTTTAAAGCAGTTAAAGGCACACCGCGGACTTTGTGACCTAAAGAGTTGACACATATGAGTTATTTTATATGAATACTTGGGCCAATATACAGCGCTTGACACTTGCAATGCTCCGAGCGGGGCTGCCCTCTTGAAATACCGCCCATGTAACTTTCGAGCAGACGGACCGTCTGCCACCAGGTCACGTGACTTGGAAGAAAGACTTGCTTTACGGCTACAGGCGCTGATATACTCATGGAGCTAAGGCTTTTGCTACTCATTTTTCACCTGCTCGACTCCTGGTCATGGCTGAGGCAAGGAAAAATTTTAAACCTTTGGAGGAGGCTAAAAAGAGGAAACGCGAAAGGGATCGTGCTGTAAGCTGCATGTCTGTATGAGCGCTGCTGTTCACCTGGTTCCTGGATGTCATCGACCGCAACGATGTCATTCCACGCAGCACGAGCTAGACGCAGAACTCCCTCATCCAGGATATAGAAGTCCATGTGTGGTAGATTACTAATGCAGCGGTCTGGAGGCTGACCACAGCAGAGTCTCTCAATATCTGTAGGCATGTCTCTACAGTTTGAACACACACACCAGTGCATGCTGTCTGAATACACACTCAAAAGACACCGGCTGACTGTTTGACTTTTGCGACAGTGCTGAGTTGCTTGTGGCCACTAGGGGCGCTAAACGTGAAAGTTGCAGGTCTAGCGCCCCTAGTGGCCAAGAGTTACACGGTGTGCCTTTAAGATAAAATGTTTTACATTACAAAAAGCAGAAACAAGTCTGGAGCAGGATCCAACCAATGTATAATGCCCCCCCCCAAAAAAACTATTGCATCCCTAGCGAGTACATTACATTCACTTAATTTATTAACAGTTCTTTTTGTATCACACTTACCTCCTGCTGTAGCTTTCCTCCATCAATTGGCAGCAGTGAAAGGAAAAATCTAAAATAAAATAAAATAAAATTAATAAACATGCTTAAAAATACTCTTCATTGGACAAATATCATAAGCATTTAAACAGGCGGTGCTGCTTTTTACATATAAAAAATGCATTAGATTAGTACAAACAAAGTGCTTTGTGCATTTTGCGTTACTACACGTGATTCCACAAAAAACATGCTATACCACAACATGTACCTGTCTTTAGCTGAATGTATTACCTTGTCAGGACTTGACATTAAGTGCTTTGAGGTACTTGAAGTGGCAGGTATTTTTTACTTGCCCGGAAACAAAACCTACTTGTCCAGCAAAATATCGTTTATTTCAAAATTAACATGCCAAAATGTTGTTCATATGAAATGCGAATGTAAGTCACGTTAGATTTTTAACATTTCCACTCTAATTTTGTGACTGCAATAGGCTATAGCAGTCACCCTCAGTATGTTCTTTTAAAAATGCATGTTTATAATGTATCACTTATACTTTGTTTGGGTTTTTTAAATGTGCTGCAGATTTCTGAATTTATTTGAACTTATCATAACTAACCATATAGCTGCACATTGGCTAAAACAGACAGGCCTTGATATAATACAGTGATGCTGATGCGGACGGGTCATAACATTAACAACATGCAGTAGCTGTTAACTTAACGTTAGTTTTCTGCTGAAACAAGCTACTTTCTGACCGCGAGGAAATCAGAGCGATCTCAGATAGCAATAAACATGTTTTCTGCCTCCGCACCATGCTCTGCACCTGTCTCCTCCTTGAGAGTTGCTCCGCTGAGCTAATGTAACTAGGGACTTCTGCGGGGAAATGAACTGTCCCCAAGAGTAGAAAATAATAGAAGATTAATAAATGTCACGTGGCTTCTGTTGCCAACTGTATTTTCCACTTGCACCTCCGGCAACAAGACAGAGCAGGACAGTAGCGACTTTGGTCTACTTATGTTAGCTGCGTACCGTTAGCAACAGCTAGCTAGAAGCTAGCAGCTCCAAACTGCGAAAACTACGCCTGTTATTATGGTTCAGAACATTTAAGGGGTAGTTGGTAATGTTACGAGTCTTAACACAAATCACTTTGCTAAACAACGAAATTGTAGGACCATTATACTGGCACAGTTTTATGCTAACAACATGTTTGGGGCTAGAGTAGACAGTTAACATGAAGTAATTTTGGACACGAACTGCCAAGAAAATAAAACGACGATTTGACCACAGATTGTATATATTTGATCAAATACGCGACAAACCTTACAGAGAAAGCACCATATATTTAAAAAATCTTACTTTGAGTTGGATCTCACGGGAAACCACACGACCGTGTCCAAGGCTGGCTCAGCGCCCATCACCAACAACAAGCTCACGGAAACGGTCCGAACCGGAAGCAAACTCCCGCCCAGTAGAAATTACTTTGTCTGAACACTTATTGATAGCGTCAGATTTAAGAAGCACTGCACTGCCAACAATATTTTTTCAAAATTTAGTTAAATACACACACAAAACGTATTTGTGGGTATATTGTTTTTGTTTTAGTAAATGGAAATTATTTTTCTAATATTAAAACCATAAGAATAAATTTTAAGTCCGAAATTGCAAATACAAGTACTTAGGTTCAAAGTTGCGCTTGCAACACTTTTCTCAGTGTGCAGTAGTTTTAATGTCTGCGGGTTATTCCAGAGACTGGCCAATGTAACCCTGCTCACAAGTGCCACCTGGTGGTTGTTTTGGTCATTGCAACGTCACTGGGAGGGGGGGAAAATAAAAGACGCGTGAATCACACGAGACTCACGTGTGATTCACGCGTGAAAGGCGACAAAACGGAATGGGACCTACTGTAGCTCTTCCTCACCTCAAATTATACCCCCCGGCATGTTCTTTCTGATCTCACATGAGCCCCTCCCCTTCCATGTTCCTGGTGTAATTGTTCAGTGGGCGATGGAAGAGCCAACTGGGCCATGGCCTGGAGCTAACTCTCAGCCACAGAATCTCGGGATGATCAACACATCACCTAAGGGGCCTCTTGTCTTTGGACCAGGAGAGAGGATATGGCAAAAATGTGACGATTCGATGTGATATTTGGGCCACAATATAATATTATTGAGAGTCTTAACATATCACAATACAGCATTGCGATTAGATTCAGCAATGTATTGAGATGCATGTCCCTCATATTATTCAAAGTATTACAAAAATTGAGGAAAATAAGATTTCTCAATTAAACTGTCACATGAATTATGGTCTGACATTAAAAACAGCCAAAACTGTATGTTTGAACATTCAGGGCACAATACCTTAATATTCGTATAGGCTACCTCTTTAATGAATGGTGAACTCCCAGCACATAACTTAAATTACTAAGAAACCAGAGAGAGACCAGAGAGAGACCAGAGAGAGACCAGAGAGAGACCAGAAAGAGAGACCAGATAGAGAGAGAGAGAGACTAGAAGAGAGACCAGAAGAGAGACCAGAGAGACTCCACACCCTCTCTCTAACCCAGCCATTCCTGTGTGGACCACGTGGATCTCGTCCTATTAGTTGTTACCAAAATGGTTGGTTTTTCCCAGAAGAACACATCCGTCACTTGAGGAGAAAGTGTCTCCGCTCTGTGCGTTCATGACTAATGCAGTAATTCATCACAAAGCACACAAAAACCAGGAAATTAATTTGCAATGAAGTGGGAAATGTTGAATGTTTTGCTCTTGTTGTCATCAGCTCCCTGTGGCTTTTCAGCCTTATAGAGATTTTTCTCTTTTTGAAGAATTGAAAATGGTTCAATCACAGAAGTGCAGAAGTCTGAAGACGGATCAGAAAAACAAGTTTAGGGTTAGGGTTAGAGAGAGAGGAGAGAGAAAGTTTAGGCAGAGAGGAGCAAGGGAGGAGAGAGGTGAGAGAGGAAGGAGAGAGGGGAGAGGAGAGAAAGGAGATAGAGAGGGAGAGGAGAGAGAGAGGAGAGAGAGTTCAGTGACAGAGGAGAGAGAAGAGAGTGAGTTTAGAGAAAGAGGAGAGAGAGAAAGTTTAGGCAGAGAGAAGCAAGGGAGGAGAGAGGTGAGAGAGGAAGGAGAGAGGGGTGAGGAGAGAAAGGAGATAGAGAGGGAGAGGAGAGAGAGAGTTAAGAGAGGAGATTGAGTTTAGCGATAGAGGAGAGAGTGAGGGGAGAGAGAAAGTTTAGGCACAGAGGAGCGAGACAGGGGAGAGGTGAGAGAGGAAGGAGCGAGAAAGAGGGAGGGGAGAGAGACATTTAGAGAGGTGAGATAGAGTTTAGAAATAGAGAAGAGAAGAGTGACTTTAAAGAGAGAGGAGAGAGAGAGCAACCTCCACAAAGTTAGCTGCCAGTAAGAGTTGTCCCCAGCAGGTCATCATACCAGCGCAGTAGAGTGTGTGGTATTGTGCAAGATTGATTGTTAAAAAGCCCATCTGATAAATTGCTTGTACAGTTAACTTTCCAGGCATCAAAGCTTTCTCCAACTCACTATCATTTATCTCTAAGTACTTCCCCGTGATCTTCAGGTGAATGATAAACTCCTCTGCATAAACTTCAGAGGAGGGCCGCCACATTTTAATTCTATAATTGCGTTTCGC